ATATATATATATATATATATATATATATATATATATATATATATATATATATATATATATATATATATATATATATATATATATATATATATATATATATATATATATATATATATATATATATATTTATGCATACCCACAACCAAGTAAAAAACAAATAGGTTAACACAAGCACAATTCACAGCATTTCACCATGGGTATTGAAAGAGTGTGCAGAAGCACTTTGCTTGTCACTCACCATAGTGTATAGTAGGTCACTGGAGACGGGAGACCTACCAGAAATATGGAAGAAGGCTAACGTATTCCCAATATGCAAAAAGGGTGACAGACAAGAGGCACTGAACTACAGGCCAGTGTCCTTAACTTGCATACCATGCAAGGTGATGGAGAAGATCGTGAGAAAAATACTAGTAACACATCTAGAGAGAAGGGTCTTCGTGACAAATCGCCAACATGGGTTCAGGGAGGGTAAATCTTGCCTCACAAGCTTAATAGTATTCTACGATTAGGTGACAAAGATAAAGCAAGAAAGAGAAGGATGGGCGGACTGCATTTTCTTGGACTGTCAGAAAGCCTTTGACACAGTACCCCATAAGAGGCTGGTGCATAAGCTGGAGAAACAGGCAGGAGTAACTGGTAGGGCGCTCCAGTGGATAAGCGAGTACCTAAGCAATAGGAAACAGAAAGTTATAGTGAGGGGGGTGAGACCTCAGACTGGCGTGAAGTCACCAGTGGAGTCCCACAGGGCTCTGTACTCGGACCTATCCTGTTTCTGATATACGTAAATGATCTCCCAGAGGGGTATAGACTCATTCCTCTCAATGTTTGCTGACGATGCAAAAATTATGGGAAGAATTAAGACAGAGGAGGACTGCTTGAGGCTTCAAAAGACCTGAGCAAACTGAAAGAATGGTCGAACAAATGGTTGTTAGAGTTTAACCCAAGAAAATGTAATGTAATGAAGATAGGTGAAGGGAGCATGAGGCCAGATACAAGGTATCATTTGAGAGATGAAATTCTTCAAGTATCAGAGAGAAAAAGACTTGGGGGTTGATATCACGCCAGACCTGTCCCCTGAAGTCCATATCAAGAAGATAACATCAGCGGCATAAGCCAGGTTGGCCTGTGGGGAATTGACCTGTAATATTTATACTTAATTTATATTAATTTATATAATAATTTATATTTAACGTTAATTTATATTTATTTCGATAGCAAACTGTGATGGTTAAAGTGGACTGTATTTCTTAAAATGTCTCACAAATTGCTTCCTTACACATTAATGTGGGTTTATAAAATTATGTACATATATAATTTTTTAATAAAAAATTATTGCTTAGGAGACATTTATTAGACGACATAGGTAACTTAAATTAACTACAGCTTATCTCTATCTGTATGGTAGTGGGCCTAGTTAACCAGTTATGGACAAGGATAAACACGCCAGTCAATAACTCCTCGTGGGTGACTAGCCTCAACTCATGTACTGATGCTAGGTAACTAGTTAATACTTCTTCCTCTTCAATTACACCTTGGTTTGTGTCTCGATTCGTGTCCTAACCGGAATACTCCTATCTACCTAACATTGCTGGCCAGAAATGACTACATAACATTTCCGAGTTGGACACTTCCCTTTTTGAAGATGATGACTGTGTGTTGATAATGGAAGCACTTTACTTCTCATAACACTTCGTCCAAGGGAGTTTCTGTGGAACTTGAAGTGAACTCCACTCGAGACGTTGTTGATAAAATTAACAATGGCTGACTACTGCGGCCTCCCTCCCTCTGACCGCATCCCTTGTTCTATAGATGCCTTATATCAAAGTGGATAGAAGGCCTACAATCACCCTACTTTGGTACTGATAATTAAGTTGATGCAGATGAAATGTTTTTATGATGTTTACAGTCCAAAGAATGCTGTATTAAGAATGTTCCCAACAGAATTAGCTGGTGAATTTAATAGCGACATGTGGCAATGATATCTCGTTTTCTATGGGAGGAAAATTCCACTGTGCCACGTCTTCTATGAGTTAATTTATTTGTACAATCCAGCAGCAATATTATCTGCCTATTGTATTAAATGCCAGTAAATGGTTTCGGTTTTTCAGACATGGCAAAAATAAGAACGACCTTTAGAAATTTGCGTAAAGAATCATTGAGAGTTTTGTATACCACATATGTACAACCAATCCTGGAGTAGGCAACTCCAGCATGGAGTTCATATCTAGTCAAGGACTGGAAAAAGTTCAAAGGTTTGCCACCAGACTAGTACCCGAAATGAGGGGTATGTTCTACGAGGAGAAACTACAGGAATTAAACCTCCAGTCATTGGAAGACAGAAAAGTTAGAGGAGACATGATCACCACATACAAGATTCCAGAGGAATTGCTAGGGTAGATAAAGACAGACTATTTAACTCAAGGGGAAGACACTCTAGGAGACACAGGTCGAAATTGAGTGCTCAAATGAGCTATAGAGACATTAGAAAAAACTTTATTAGTGTCAGAGTAGTAGACAAATGGAATGCATTAGGCAGTGATATGGTGGAGGCTGACTCCATACACAGTTTCAAGTGATAGAACCAAATAGGCTCAGGAACCTGTACATCAGTTGATTGACATTTGAGAGGCGGGATCAAAGAGTCAGAGCTCAACCCCCGCAAGCACAACTAGGCGAGTACAACTAGGTGAGTACAGCAGCTAGATGTCACTAAACAAAGATGACATATCAGTCCACAATGAAAATATGACAAAGTCAAGAAACTCTCTACTGAAGTTAGCGTTCACAATGCCTCAATAATCTGGCAGAGTCAGGAATCTCATCTCAAAAATTAAAGTTCTCAATAACTGAAATTTGATTAAGTCCTGAATCTCCTCCCCAGAGTTAAAGTCCACACGGGCATCAAAATATGACAGGAAACAGTCCCCAAAACGGCACTAAAAATATAAATCACTTCACCAAAAGAGTTACAATTTAAGAATTTAGTGATAACGCTTATTTAACTCTGATCCATACTTCTTGCCTTACTGGTAAGAAGACAATAGATATACAAACATTCCTGCTAAATAATTACTCAGAGAGCACACACAACACGTGTGATCCCTTCAACATCTAAGAGACCAGTGAGACGGCTCCAGGCTGCCCACCACAGGTCAACTAACAATACCAACAGCGTACATTAATATAAACGCTGCGCGTACTAGTGGCTTTACAAGATTGTAATTACCATATGCAGGCGACGAGTCACAATAACGTGGCTAAAGTAAGTTGACCAGACCACACACTAGACGGTGAATGGACGACGACGTTTCGGTCCGTCCTGGACCATTCTCAAGTCGATTGTCATGAATCACAATCGACTTGAGAATGGTCCAGGACGGACCGAAAGTCGTCGTCTCTTCACCTTTTAGTGTGTGGTCTGGTCAACTTGTAATTATCATACTATGTATTCTCCCAAACCAAATGTACCTTCTTACATAGAAATAAATAAATAAATAAATAAATAAATAAATAAATAAATAAATAAATAAATAAATAAATAAATAAATAAATAAATAAATAAGTAAATAACCCCTCTCAGAGTAACGAAAAGAAAACATAAAATACTCATAAGTAATTTACACAACTCGGGAACATACACAGATGTTCAACTATACAAAATAATCAATCATAATGATATATACAATCATAATGTATATATACACACATTCAACTGAAACAAAAGTTACCAACCACAACACAGGTTAGTTGCTCTGACAGACACTCAGGCAAGGGGCTGGGGATAGTGCCAGCGGCCGGTCGCGCGAAATGAACAGTTAAACACTCACTCAACACTTCATGAATTATAGCATTTAATATTATAATAATAATACAATACAGGTGTATATAATGATATTCCAATATAGATGTGCATAAATACTGCAGCATGTTTAAAATCGTAATAGAGGTACCTTAACACTTAAAGGCGTGACCTGAGCGTGTCCAGTCGGAAGTAGTTAGGTTGGGTCGTCATAACTCGCACGAAGAAGACAACTCTCATATGATAAACATTCTGTAACAACACAGATTTGCTTTGGTTTGTTCCCTCGTGATAAATATCCCTTGAGTACTTATACCTCCGGCCAGAGCTACTTCTCTAACCCTGCAAGGTGACAGCTCCCTCATACTTGTTGACAGCTCCCTCATACTTGTCAACTAATGCTCCTTCAAGACTCATACTTGTCAACTAATGCTCCTTCAAGACTCATACTTGTCAACTAATGCTCCTTCAAGACTCATACTTGTCAACTAATGCTCCTTCAAGACTCATACTTGTCAACTAATGCTCCTTCAAGACTCATACTTGTCAACTAATGCTCCTTCAAGACTCATACTTGTCAACTAATGCTCCTTCAAGACTCATACTTGTCAACTAATGCTCCTTCAAGACTCATACTTGTCAATTAATGCTCCTTCAAGACTCATACTTGTCAACTAATGCTCCTTCAAGACTCATACTTGTCAACTAATGCTCCTTCAAGACTCATACTTGTCAACTAATGCTCCTTCAAGACTCATACTTGTCAACTAATGCTCCTTGCAAGATTATTCATGATTTAGCACAGTAGTCAGCGTGGTCTGCTCACAACCGAAAGGTCCCGGGTACGGTTCTCGCCTCTAAAGAAAGGCGATTGGGCACGTGTTCTTGCACTTTGATACCTTGCTAATCACCTAGCAGTAAATGGGTACTCGTGAGCTAGACAACTGTTATAGATTGCAACCTGCAGAGGGTCTGAAGTTGGACAAAGAGGGGGAAGGGCCTACCAGAACCCTGACGGACTTCCTGTCCTCAGCAGCTGGGAAATAAGGATTCATATCTAATATTCAATCTAAATTTAAGTGTTGTGTGATCCCTTGAGTCCACTTTGGTCCACTTTGGTCCACTTTGGTCCTCTTTGGTCCACTTTGGTCCTCTTTGGTCTACTTTGGTCCACTTTGGTTAACTTTGGTCCACTCTGCAGGTCCTTGGCGGTTCCTGCTGGCCTTCTCAGCCTACACCAACATCAAGAAAATATTTGCCATCAGTAATAAGAAAAATCCTGAAGTAATTTCCTGCCTTCATGGAATGAGGTGAGAATATGTCGCTGGTGATGATGAGAGACTGTAAAGCACAGTACGTGTCCTCACGGTAAGGTGCACAGTACATGATACATGAGACACACACGGTACACGGTACATGATACATGGGACACACACGGTGCACGGTACAAGACACATGAGACACACAAGGTACACAGTACATGATACATGAGACACACAAGGTGCACAGTACTAGATACATGGGACACACAAGGTGAAGGTCCAGGTCTCCCCTCTGCTGGGACCACTTCCAGGTCTCCCCTCTGCTGGGACCACTTCTAGGTCTCCTCTCTGCTGGGACCACTTCCAGGTCTCCCCTCTGCTGGGACCACTTCTAGGTCTCCTCTCTGCTGGGACCACTTCCAGGTCTCCCCTCTGTTGGGACCACTTCCAGGTCTCCTCTCTGCTGGGACCACTTCCAGGTCTCCCCTCTGCTGGGACCACTTCCAGGTCTCCCCTCTGCTGGGACCACTTCCAGGTCTCCTCTCTGCTGGGACCACTTCCAGGTCTCCCCTCTGCTGGGACCACTTCCAGGTCTCCCCTCTGCTGGGACCACTTCCAGGTCTCCTCTCTGCTGGGACCACTTCCAGGTCTCCCCTCTGCTGGGACCACTTCCAGGTCTCCCCTCTGCTGGGACCACTTCCAGGTCTCCCCTCTGCTGGGACCACTTCCTGGTCTCCCCCTCTGCTGGGACCACTTCCAGGTCTCCTCTCTGCTGGGACCACTTCCTGGTCTCCCCCTCTGCTGGGACCACTTCCTGGTCTCCCCTCTGCTGGGACCACTTCCTGGTCTCCCCCTCTGCTGGGACCACTTCCAGGTCTCCCCTCTGTTGGGACCACTTCTAGGCCACTATACACATTCCTTCCTCCAAAAACAACACTACTTAGAGTACTTGTCAGGTGGAAAGTACCAATGTGTAGTGTTGGCCCGCCAGGACTTTTGCATTACCGAATTTGGACCAATGGGAAGCTTCAAACGCCACATAGATATGTAACCCAACCCGTCCTGGCTATCTTGGGCTTATTGCACGCTATCTTAGGCCTAATATGATACATGTGTGCTATACTAGGCCTAAATGTGGTTAAGTTTGTTTTTTAGCTATATATAATCCGGACTCTATAGAAGTAAATGTTCAGAAAGTGAACTTTTGGTGGTTCATCACTATATATTGGTACTCTTTAGTGGTTCTTCACTACATATTGGTACTCATAAGTGGTTCATCTCTACATATTGGTACTCGTTGGAGGTTCATCACAACATATTGGTACTTTTTGGTGGTTCATCACGACATATTGGTACTCTATGGTGGTTCATCACAACATATTGGTACTCTATGGTGGTTCATCACTATATATTGGTACTCTATGGTGGTTCATCACAACATATTCGTACTCTTTGGTGGTTCATCACTATATATTGGTACTCTATGGTGGTTCATCACAACATATTGGTACTCTATGGTGGTTCATCACTACATATTGGTACTCTTTGGTGGTTCATCACTACATATTGGTACTTTTTGGTGGTTCATCACGATATATTGGTACTGGTTGGTGGTTCATCACTACATATTGGTACTCTATGGTGGTTCATCACTACATATTGGTACTCAATGGTGGTTCATCGCTACATATTGGTACTTTTTGGTGGTTCATCACTACATATTGGTATTTTTGGTGGTTCATCACTACATATTGGTACTCTTCAGGGGTTCATCACTACATATTGGTACTCTATGGTGGTCCATCACTACATATTGGTACTCTTTGGTGGTTCATCACTACATATTGGTACTCTTTGGTGGTTCATCACTACATATTGGTACTTTTTGGTGGTTCATCACGATATATTGGTACTGGTTGGTGGTTCATTACTACATATTGGTACTCTTTGGTGGTTCATCACTACATATTGGTACTCTTTGGTGGTTCATCACTACATATTGGTACTTTTTGGTGGTTCATCACAACATATTGGTACTCTATGGTGGTTCATCACTACATATTGGTACTCTATGGTGGTTCATCACTACATATTGGTACTTTTTGGTGGTTCATCACTACATATTGGTACTTTTTGGTGGTTCATCACTACATATTGGTACTCTTCAGGGGTTCATCACTACATATTGGTACTCTTTGGTGGTTCATCACTACATATTGGTACTTCCACCAAACAGTTACTGTAAGTACTCTCAGTTCAGGAGGACGGGCTGACATATATATTAGTATATATAAGGAGTATAGGAAATATAATTAAAAACTAATATATTACATTGTTTCACGAGGCCATATCAATATTTTTAATAGATTAGGAACCAAAATTTATCAAAATTAAGTATTGTACTTACACAAATATAAAATAAGTTAATTGCAAAATAGATTTGACTAAACTAGGATAATAGCTAAAGTCAACTGAACCAATTTAGATTTTAAAATTTTGAGTCAAACACGGAACTGGCTGAGACAACGCTCGTCTCATGTAATCATGAGTCTCTAATCTCATCTAATCTCATCTAAAGCAAGGGCTGCAGATATCCCTGGGCTCAGATACTCACAAGGGGACCTACAAGAAAGTTTCAATACATTACATTAATATGAACACATTAAATATGTATCAATAAATATGCACGCAATATTTTATTAACTTTATCCTCACGTAATTGTTCCACAGGGTGATGTCCATGACCTGGGTGGTGTGGGCCCATTGCTATATATTTTTCTACACATACTCCACTAACTTACTAGGAATCCAGGAGGTGAGTATAGCCATTAGGCATTTTTACACCTCATTTATTAGTATGAGCGTCGTGTCATTACAGCGTCAAAGAGGGTTGCTGGTAGTGTGTTGCTGAGGAGTTAATGTGATGTGCTGGTATACCCAGTCTTCCTTAGTCTTTGTTAGTGTTCGCTGGTCGTTGGTAGTGTTCGCTGGTCGTTGGTAGTGTTCGCTGGTCGTTGGTAGTGTTCGCTGGTCGTTGGTAGTGTTCGCTGGTCGTTGGTAGTGTTCGCTGGTCGTTGGTAGTGTTCGCTGGTCGTTGGTAGTGTTCGCTGGTCGTTGGTAGTGTTCGCTGGTCGTTGGTAGTGTTCGCTGGTCGTCGTTGGTAGTGTTCGCTGGTCGTTGGTAGTGTTCGCTGGTCGTTGGTAGTGTTCGCTGGTCGTTGGTAGTGTTCGCTGGTCGTTGGTAGTGTTCGCTGGTCGTTGGTAGTGTTCGCTGGTCGTTGGTAGTGTTCGCTGGTAGTGTTCGTTGTTGTAGTGTTCGCTGGTCGTGGTCGTTGGTAGTGTTCGCTGGTCGTTGGTAGTGTTCGCTGGTCGTTGGTAGTGTTCGCGGGTCGTTGGTAGTGTTCGCTGGTCGTTGGTAGTGTTCGCTGGTATTGTTCGCGGGTCGTTGGTAGTGTTCGCTGGTCGTTGAAAGTGTTCGCTGGTCGTTGGTAGTGTTCGCTGGTCGTTGGTAGTGTTCGCTGGTATTGTTCGCGGGTCGTTGGTAGTGTTCGCTGGTCGTTGAAAGTGTTCGCTGGTCGTTGGTAGTGTTCGCTAGTCGTTGGTAGTGTTCGCTGGTCGTTGGTAGTGTTCGCGGGTCGTTGGTAGTGTTCGCTAATCGTTGGTAGTGTTCGCTGGTCGTTGGTAGTGTTCGCTGGTCGTTGGTAGTGTTCGCTGGTCGTTGGTAGTGTTCGCGGGTCGTTGGTCGTTGGTAGTGTTCGCTGGTCGTTGAAAGTGTTCGCTGGTCGTTGGTAGTGTTCGCTGGTCGTTGGTAGTGTTCGCTGGTCGTTGGTAGTGTTCGCTGGTAGTGTTCGTGGTCGCGCTGGTCGTTGGTAGTGTTCGCTGGTCGTTGGTAGTGTTCGCTGGTCGTTGGTAGTGTTCGCGGGTCGTTGGTAGTGTTCGCTGGTCGTTGGTAGTGTTCGCTGGTCGTTGGTAGTGTTCGCTGGTCGTTGGTAGTGTTCGCTGGTCGTTGGTAGTGTTCGCGGGTCGTTGGTAGTGTTCGCTGGTCGTTGGTAGTGTTCGCTGGTCGTTGGTAGTGTTCGCTGGTCGTTGGTAGTGTTCGCTGGTCGTTGGTAGTGTTCGCGGGTCGTTGGTAGTGTTCGCTGGTCGTTGGTAGTGTTCGCTGGTCGTTGGTAGTGTTCGCTGGTCGTTGGTAGTGTTCGCTGGTCGTTGGTAGTGTTCGCGGGTCGTTGGTAGTGTTCGCTGGTCGTTGAAAGTGTTCGCTGGTCGTTGGTAGTGTTCGCTGGTCGTTGGTAGTGTTCGCTGGTCGTTGGTAGTGTTCGCGGGTCGTTGGTAGTGTTCGCGGGTCGTTGGTAGTGTTCGCTGGTCGTTGGTAGTGTTCGCTGGTCGTTGGTAGTGTTCGCTGGTCGTTGGTAGTGTTCGCGGGTCGTTGGTAGTGTTCGCTGGTCGTTGAAAGTGTTCGCTGGTCGTTGGTAGTGTTCGCTGGTCGTTGGTAGTGTTCGCTGGTCGTTGGTAGTGTTCGCGGGTCGTTGGTAGTGTTCGCTGGTCGTTGGTAGTGTTCGCTGGTCGTTGGTAGTGTTCGCTGGTCGTTGGTAGTGTTCGCTGGTCGTTGTAGTGTTCGCTTCGTTGTAGTGTTCGCTGGTCGTTGAAAGTGTTCGCTGGTCGTTGGTAGTGTTCGCTGGTCGTTGGTAGTGTTCGCTGGTCGTTGGTAGTGTTCGCTGGTCGTTGGTAGTGTTCGCTGGTCGTTGGTAGTGTTCGCTGGTCGTTGGTAGTGTTCGCTGGTCGTTGGTAGTGTTCGCTGGTCGTTGGTAGTGTTCGCTGGTCGTTGGTAGTGTTCGCTGGTCGTTGGTAGTGTTCGCTGGTCGTTGGTAGTGTTCGCTGGTCGTTGGTAGTGTTCGCTGGTCGTTGGTAGTGTTCGCTGGTCGTTGGTAGTGTTCGCTGGTCGTTGGTAGTGTTCGCTGGTCGTTGGTAGTGTTCGCTGGTCGTTGGTAGTGTTCGCTGGTCGTTGAAAGTGTTCGCTGGTCGTTGGTAGTGTTCGCTAGTCGTTGGTAGTGTTCGCTGGTCGTTGGTAGTGTTCGCTGGTCGTTAGTAGTGTTCGCTAGTCGTTGAAAGTGTTCGCTGGTCGTTGGTAGTGTTCGCTAGTCGTTGGTAGTGTTCGCTGGTCGTTGGTAGTGTTCGTTAGTCGTTGGTAGTGTTCGCTGGTCGTTGGTAGTGTTCGCTGGTCGTTGGTAGTGTTCGCTGGTCGTTGGTAGTGTTCGCTGGTCGTTGAAAGTGTTCGCTGGTCGTTGGTAGTGTTCGCTAGTCGTTGGTAGTGTTCGCTGGTCGTTGGTAGTGTTCGTTAGTCGTTGGTAGTGTTCGCTGGTCGTTGGTAGTGTTCGCTGGTCGTTGGTAGTGTTCGCTGGTCGTTGGTAGTGTTCGTTAGTCGTTGGTAGTGTTCGCTGGTCGTTGGTAGTGTTCGCTGGTCGTTGGCAGTGTTCGCTGGTCGTTGGTAGTGTTCGCTGGTCGTTAGTAGTGTTCGCTAGTCGTTGAAAGTGTTCGCTGGTCGTTGGTAGTGTTCGCTAGTCGTTGGTAGTGTTCGCTGGTCGTTGGTAGTGTTCGTTAGTCGTTGGTAGTGTTCGCTGGTCGTTGGTAGTGTTCGCTGGTCGTTGGTAGTGTTCGCTGGTCGTTGGTAGTGTTCGCTAGTCGTTGGTAGTGTTCGATAGTCTTCGGTAGTATTCGCTAACCGTTGGTAGTGTTCGCTAGTCGTTGATGGTGTTTGCTAGTCGTTGGAAGTGTTCGCTAGTTCTTGGTAGTGTTCGCTAGTCGTTGGTGGTGTTCGGTAGTCGTTGGAAGTGTTCGCTAGCCGTTGGTGGTGTTCGCTAGTCGTTGGTAGTGTTCGCTAGTCGTTGGTAGTGTTCGCTAGTCGTTGGTAGTGTTCGCTGGTCGTTGGTAGTGTTCGCTAGTCGTAGGAAGTGTTCGCTAGCCGTTGGTAGTGTTCGTTAGTCGTTGGTAGTGTTCGTTAGTCGTTGGTAGTGTTCGATGGTCGTTGGTGGTGTTCGCTAGTCATTGGTAGTGTTCGCTGGTCGTTGGTGGTGTTCGCTGGTCGTTGATGGTGTACCCTAGTCTTTGTCAGTGTTCGCTGGTCGTTTTCAGTGTTCCCTAGTCGTTGTCAATGTTGTTGCGGCCTTCCCGATACGCCTGTTGAGTTCAGTGTCCAGGGAAAGGGTGTCTGAGATTGTGGAGCCCAGGTACACAAACTCGTGAACTGCCTCCAGCACATAGTCTGCTATGTTTATACAGGGTAGCTCATTGATGTCATGTCCCATCACCTGTGTCTTCTTCAGGCTGATTGTCAAGCTGAATGCGGAACAGGCTGCGGCAAAGCAGTCGAGTAGCTGCTGCAGGCCTTGTGCTGTGTGTGTGTGTGGTGATCGCTGCGTCGTCGGCGAAGAGGAACTCCCTTAGGATTCGCATCTGTACTTTCGTCTTTGCTCGGAGTCTGGATAGATTATAGAGCTTTCCATCACATCTTGTACGGAGATAGATGCTCTCTGGGGTTGTTCCAAAGGCATGCTTGACGAGGAACGTGAAGAAGATGCCGAACAGGGTTGGAGCAAGAACACACCCCTGTTTAACACCACTGTTGATGTTGAATGGTTCAGAAGTTGAGCCGTCATACACGACTGTCCCCTTCATGTCCTTGTGGAACGATTGTATCATGCTGAGTAGGGTGGATAGGCAGCCCATTTTGGCCAAGATCTTGAAGGGTCCGTCCCTACTCACAAGGTCGATGGCCTTTGTAGGGTCAATTAAGGCGATGTACAAGGCTTTTTCTCTGCTCCCTGCACTTTTCTTGAAGCTGTCTCAAGGAGAACATCATGTCAGTGGTCGACTTCTCTGCTCGGAAACCGCACTGTGACTCAGTAAGAATCTAAAGCCAGACCAAGACGACCCTGGCGAAGAGTTTGCCGACGACGCTGAGGAGGGAGATGCCGCGATAGTTGTTGTCATCACTTCTGTCACCTTTATTTTTGTAGAGAGTGATGATGTTTGCCTCTCTCATGTCTTGTGGCACTAAGCTCTCCCTCCAGCACTGGCACAGTTCATGAAGCTCAGTTTTATGTGTTCCACGAGCGCACTTGAGAACTTCAGGCGGAATCCTTTCGTCTCATGAGGCCTTTCCTGAGGAAATGGAATCCAGTGCTTTCTCAACTTCTTCCACAGTCGGTTCAAAGTCAAGTTCTTCCATGATGGGCAGGCACTCGATTGCATCCAAGGCCTCTACGCTGACCAAGTTTTCTCTGGAGTAGAGTTCGGAGTAAAGTTCCACCCAGCGATTCATCTGTTGATCACGGTCTTTAATCTCTCCAGTGGCTGACTTCGAAAAAGCCGTCCTGTTTTGTGTAGGGCCTGTTGCCTGTTTGATCCCTTCGAACATGCCTCTTACGTTGCCGACAGTGGCCGCAGTCTGGAAGCTGGAACAGAGTCGGAGCCAGTAATCGTTAGCACAGCGCCTCGTAGCTTGTTGAACTCTACTGCGGGCAGTATGGAGGGCCTGTAGGTTCCTTTCTGAGGGCAGGTTCTTGTAGGATGAGAGAGATCATCTCCTCTATGAGGGGTAACTGTTCCTCTGCACTGGCTTCGAACCAATCTGCTGACTAGTTCTGCCTCTTACCGAAGGTGGACATGGCAATGTTGAAAATAGTGCCCCTGAGATGTGACTACCTCTCACTTGCGCTATCGCAGGGTGGTACAGGAAGGGCATTTACCAGCGCCGCAGTGAATTTCTCCACCTTGTGAAGGTCACGGGTCTTGCTTATGCCAATGCGTGGTCTTCCCTCCTTTGCTCCGGGGATTTTCCGGGGCTGGAACTTTACTCTGCAAACGACGATGTTGATGTTTAAGATTCGCCACCTGGAACGAAAAGTTCCAAGTAGCACGAGCTATGGTGAGCCCGTTGCAAACGATGAGCGAGTGGTCCGTGTCGCAATCTGCGCCCTGGAAGTTTGATGCTTCTCAGATTGCTATGCCCCGTAACCACCAGGTCGAGTTGGTGCCAATGCTTAGATCTGGGGTGTCTCCAGGAAACCTTGTGCTGGGGCTTGGTGTCGAAGAAGGAATTGGTGATGCAGAGATCATGAAGACAGCAGAACTCCAGGAGGCGCTGCCCAATCATTCATCTTCTCAAATCCAAACTGGCTCAGGCAGGAAGGCCAAGAGCTGTGATCAGAACCAACTCTTGCGTTAAAGTCTCCCAGGAGGAAGACTGGCTCTTGTTGAGGTATGTCTCTGAGAGCTAGGCCGAGGTCATAATAGAACTCGTCCTTCGCTTCGGTAGAGGAGATCAGTGTTGGAGCGTAGGCAGTGATGAGGCTGAGCATTCCTGCTGCTGTATGAAGCTGAAGTTTGATGATCCTTGCAAACCCCTCCATGGGCGGTACTATGCACCCTAACAACCTGTTCCTGATGTCGAAGCCAATGCTATGACTCCTTACCTCTTCTAGTGGTTTACCCTGCCAGAAGAAGGTAAAGTCTTTCTCCCATATGCTGCTGGTTGCGGGCAGACGTGTCTCTTGAAGGGCGACTATGTCCATCTGGAGCAATAATGCACACGCGTTGCTAAACCACAGCAACACGTGGCCGGATACTGCTAGTATGTATATATGGGTATATATATATATATATATATATATATATATATATATATATATATATATATATATATATATATATATATATATATATATATATATATATACATATATATATATATATATATATATACATATATATATATATACATATATATATATATATATATATATATATATATATATATATATATATATATATATATGTATATATATATATATATATATATATATATATATATATATATATATATATATATATATATATATATATATATATATATATATATATATATATATATATATATACACACACACAACTTTAGAACACTTTCCCACCAGGAGACTCGAACCCTAGCCAGCACAGAAGCCTTCCAGCAACTGGCATAACAGGTTTACTTTAACCCACTGCACCACGCTAGACCCTTAAAAGAGATGGTAATTTTGGGGTATTTAAACACCCCAAAGATTACCACCTCCCAAGGGCAACTAGAGCAAGTGAGGGGTCACTTACGTTTTTCATCAAGTCCCTGTTAATATGGGAGAACACTGTGTCTATGCTTGGTGCACAACTTGCCTAAACACACAAGTGAAGTTATACAACTTTAGAACACTTTCTAAAGTTGTATAACTTCACTTGCGTGTTTAGGCAAGTTGCGCATCAAGCATAGACACAGTGTTCTCCCATATTAACAGGGACTTGATTAAAAACGTAAGTGACCCCTCACTTGCTCTAGTTGCCCTTGGGAGGTGGTAATCTTTGGAGTGTTTAAATACCCCGAAATTACCATCTCTTTTAAGGGTCTAGCGTGGTGCAGTGGGTTAAAGGCGTACCTGTTATGCCAGTTGCTGGAAGGCTTCTGTGCTGGCTAGGGTTCGAGTCTCCTGGTGGGAAAGTGTTCTAAAGTTGTATAACTTCACTTGTGTGTTTAGGCAAGTTGTATATATATATATACATATATGTATAATATATTATACATATATATATATGTATAAAATATATATATATATATATATATATATATATATATATATATATTGGTGTATACTGGCAGCAGGTTTTCTTTCAAACATGTTTCATTGAATATGACCGCATATTCTGTATTTATTATTTTCTGGTTTAGGGCTTCTATCCCTCATATATATGTGTGTGTGTGTGTGTGAAAATTCCACACCCCAGAAGGATTTGAACCCAGACAGCCAGGGGCACTATACACCTTGGCGTACCTAGGGCCATATCCACTAGACCACACTGTACAAAAATCTTGGTAGTCGTGAGAATCACCTCACTTGGTGGGGCCACGTGAGCCACACAAATGGGAACAAGCTTGAATGATCCCTCAAGCCAATATGCAACTGAAAACTCCTCGCCCCTGAAGGATTCGAACCCAGACAGCCAGGGCTCCATGCACCTTAGCGTATTCAGTACTATACCGCTAGACCACACTGACTATACAAAATGGTTAGAAGTCGTGTGACCCTTAACCCAACTCCCGACAGCACTGGCCATCCTAGACCAGGAAGATCCAGGTCTGGATAAGGCTCCAGAAGATAAGTGATTGTATAAGGGTCCAGGTGACTTTATCCAGACCTTTTATCGAGACTTGGACCCTTATCCAGTCACCTTATCCAGTCACCTATCCAGTCACCTGGATAAGGTGACCCTTATCCAGGTGACTGGATAAAGGTTCTGGCGGGGTCAAAATGTCCTCACTTTAATTTAGTGTCATATGTGTGTGTGTGTGTGGGTCGGGATAATGACATTGTGGTTTATGTTGTGTGTGTGTCGGTGTAGGTGACAGATGACGTGCTCGACGAGACGGTCGACAACGCCGGCTTCAGTGTCGACACTTTCTTCTTCATCAGCGGCTTCCTGGTGACTTATGGAGTTCTGAAGGAGTTCAGCAGAGTAGGCAGGATCAACTGGATCATGTACTACGTTCACCGCGTCATCAGGTAGGATGTACTACGTTCACCGTGTCATCAGGTAGGATGTACTATGTTCACCGTGTCATCAGGTAGGATGTACTACGTTCACCGTGTCATCAGGTAGGATGTACTACGTTCACCGCGTCATCAGGTAGGATGTACTACGTTCACCGTGTCATCAGGTAGGATGTACTACGTTCACCGTGTCATCAGGTAGGATGTACTACGTTCACCGTGTCATCAGGTAGGATGTACTACGTTCACCGAGTCATCAGGTAGGATGTACACGTTCTCTATCCTTCCTTCTCGAAGTTGTTGTTGTTTTAGAGAATGGTGGAGAGAGTTGAGGGAAAGGAAATTCCTAGAGGAAGGTAAAAGCAAGCTGAAAGGTCCGGATGGGAAGGGTGTAATAATGAGGGTGTAAGAAAGGGTGGGGGTTATAATGGATATAATAATAGGAACGTAAGAATAAAAGGAGAAAGAGAAAAATGACTGGTAGGCTTATGTTAGGTCACGATTGTTCGAAAGTTTACAATATTTGAGTATGTATTGTGAAAGGAAAGAGTCAACAGCAACAAAGCCAAGACTATGGTTCATGTTGGGTAGGTTGTGCATCAGAGCCGATTCAAGAAGACGGCGTCTGTGTAGAGTAGAGGCAGGAAAGACCATTTTAGAAGACCCATCAATAGGCTGACTTGAATCCCTAACATGACATATGAGAGTATTGTGTCTACAGACTTAATACTTCTTTTGTGTTCCTTAAGTCTGTCATTTAGTGAAAGGTCAGTTTCCCCAAAGTACTGGAGAGGACAAGACGAACAGGAAATAGAGTAGACACCAGCGGCATTAGAAGCAGGAGGAGCAGTGTGAACTAGATTACTAGAAAAAGAGTTCGTTTGTCTAAAGGCAAGTTTTATGCCAAGAGGTCGAAGGGTATTAGTGAGATTTTTTAGTTCAGGTATGAAGGCAGAGCACAGTGGTACTAGTGATGGAAACATTTTTAAGAAAAGAAACGTCGTCGTCTCCTCATCTTCTGGTGTATGGTTTAGTCTTCATAAGGAGATAATAATAAGATATCATTGAGATAACTGTGTATTAATGATCTTATTCAAATCGTCTTTTAAGTAATCAATCAAAAATGGATCCAAATTATACAGAGCATTACTAATGCTCAAATTGTATGGTTTGTAATCTGTATTAAAGCAGATTCAATAACGTTTCTATTGAAAATACTTTTACACCTCGTTATTGAAGAAGACTTCTCCCGATCACTTTGGCGAGAACTTTCTGACAAAGGAATTTACTGACAAATTGTAAAAGCATTTCCAGTAGTGAATCTGGGCATAGTATTAGTGAATCTGGGCATAGTATTAGTGAATCTGGGCATAGTATTAGTGAATCTGGGCATAGTATTAGTGAATCTGGGCATAGTATTAGTAAATCTGGGCATAGTATTAGTGAATCTGGGCATAGTATTAGTGAATCTGGGCATTGTATTAGTGAATCTGGGCATAGTATTAGTGAATCTGCTTTAATACAGATTACAGATCCATACAAATTGAACATTAGTAGTGGTCTGTATAATTTGGATACATTTTTGATTGATCAATTCAAAAACTATTTGAGTAAGATCATTAATACACACTTATCACAATATTATCTGATTAATATCTCCTTCTCTCATTAATATCTCATTATTATCTCATTAATGATTCCTACAAATCAAATATATGGGTGATTGAGCCTTCTGCAGTTCCCTTCTGTGTTTGTGAACAAATGCATTCTTTTTCACCTCACCTCTCTCCATTCCTGCCTATACATCCACTATCACTGAACTGAATGTCCATCCTTCTGAAGATGTATTATTAAATACGAAAGAACTTAAGGAATTTTCTGTCTTAATCATTCCTTCGTGGTCTGACATTGTTACATTGTTCATCACGTGTTAATTTCTTGTGGTAAATCAAGGTGATTTACACACATATTATATATATATATATATATATATATATATATATATATATATATATATATATATATATATATATATATATATATATATATATATATATATATGAGTCCAGTTGTTTTTCTAAACTACACCTTGTATTTCCATTGTGTTATTAATGTAAATCAACTACTGTACTATTGCTTCAACTACTAACTCCATATTGAAATAGTCTATGCTTACCTTCCTTAAGTGGTACCTTTTTTGTACTCATTTGTTATTTTCCACAAACGTTCTGATTTTCGTAGTTTACTTCTCCCTTAGCATATAGTGTTTTACCCCTCACACATTCAGTTAATTTTTGGTGTCTATTTTAATGCCTTTGCCGGAAACGCTTTGCGTACAAAATATTTTATAGATTGTGTAACTTCTGTGCCTACTATTGTATATTAATCTTATTTCTTGGTACTCACCATTCTTTTGAACAAACATTGATTAATTGATTAATTGATTAATTGATTGATTGATTCATTCTTATATGATGGTTTGTGTTGTTGTGCAATAGGTTAGCGCCACCCATAGCCTTGACTGGTGCCGTGATGGCCACGCTGGCAAGGTTCCTGGTGTTCGGGCCCCTTGCCATGCACATTGAGCGGACCGTCGTGGAGATCTGTCAGCAGTACTGGTGGGCAGACTTCCTCTTTGCCACCAACTTTATGAATCATATGGTGAGTGTCTGCTGTCATACCCATGACACAAACATTAACATGACATTACTGATAATAAACCTTTCTGTGGATTGTCACGGCAGCACAGAGGCACAGCGTCAATGGATTTATTTTTCGTTCTCAGCGGTATTAGTTACAAACCTGAAGTTGGGATTTATAGATTAGGGTTATCATTTTGGTTACTTATCAAATTATCAGTGTAATATATAATTATCATCTTAAACAAAATTATTATCTTGAGGTTATCTTGAGATGATTTCGGGGCTTTAGTGTCCCCGCGGCCCGGTCCTCGACCAGGCCTCCACCCCCAGGAAGCAGCCCGTGACAGCTGACTAACACCCAGGTACCTATTTACTGCTAGGTAACAGGGGCATTCAGGGTGAAAGAAACTTTGCCCATTTGTTTCTGCCTCGTGCGGGAATCGAACCCGCGCCACAGAATTACGAGTCCTGCGCGCTATCCACCAGGCTACGAGGCCACAAATTATTATTATTATTATTATATATATATAATAATTTACATAATTATAGCAATTTTCATAATTGTAGCAATTATCGTAATCCACATATTATGGAAAGTATCATTATATATAATTATCATATTTATCATAATCTGGTTCATTATTATCATTAGCATAATAACAATTATAGTCATTATAATTATCATTATCGTAATTATCATTATCTGCGTCATCATCATCATCTCTATCATCATTGTCATTATTTTTTCAGAATTATCATCATTATCATCAACATTATCCTCATACTCTTCTTTGTCATAATTCCCCTAATTACCGTCATCCTCACCTTCCCACTTATCAGCACGAGCATCTTGAGGTTATCTTGAGATGATTTTAGGGCTCAGCGTCCCCGCGGCCCGGTCCTCGACCAGGCCTCCCTTTTTGTTACACATCCCCAGGAAGCAGCCCGTAGCAGCTGTCTAACTCCTAGGTATCTATTTACTGCTAGGTGCACAGGAGTATCAGAGTGAAAGAAACTCTGCCCACGTGTCTCTGCCTTAGCTGGGAATCGAACCCGCAACCTTAGGACTACGAATCCCCAGCGCTGTCTACTCAGCCGTCAGGCCCCTACGTCATAATATTCCCTACTTCTCCTCTCTACATTTAACCACAGGTCCTCTGCTATATACTTAATAATGTCAATATTACAATATTTTGTAATTAGGTTATTTGGCTAGCTGTGATTTTTTTTTATATATTAGTTTTTTCTTCATTGAGGTTCAGGGGCCCACAAGTAAAGCAAAGTAATAAAGATTGCAAATATAAGCACTAATCAACCTGTCCTCAGGATGTCTGTGTCTTAGTGGTAATCACTAGAAAACTACTACTTAATTAGTGCTTTTATGTACTAAGTACCCATGGATAGGTTAGGTTACATTACATTAGGTTAATACATAACAGTGTATTATTTTCAAGCATGTTTAGTATGAAATTCGAAATCTATTTGAGCTTCCCCTAAAATATCACATTAAAAAAAAGACTTTGAAGCATAAATAAAAAACGAGTTTAGCATAAACTTTTTACACTATAAACCATCGATTTATAATGCAAAAAGTTATAACTTCAGAATATTTTCTGTTTAGAGCAAAGGTTCACTTGCCAGTTAACAGGTAGACTATTACTGGAACCGTATCAGACCATCACCAATATCTAGGTAACTATCCAGGTGGTATGGGACGTGTCTCAATGAGATCACTTTACCCAGAGAACGGGCAGCTAATAACTCTCCCTCCATTCATTACATCTTCTGCACTACATAGTAAAGATTCACATAGAAACAGTACCATCACACTACATACTGGGGCATCACATGCAACCAGTACCATCACACTACATACTGGGGCATCACCTAGAACCAGTACTATCACACTTCATACTGGGGCATCACCTAGAACCAGTACCATCACACTACATACTGGGGCATCACCTAGAACCAGGACCATCACACTACATACTGGGGCATCACCTAGAACCAGTACCATCACACTACATACTGGAGCATCACATAGCACCAGTACCATCACACTACATACTGGGGCATCACATAGAACCAGTACCATCACACTACATACTGGGGCATCACCTAGAACCAGGACCATCACACTACATACTGGGGCATCACCTAGAACCAGTACCATCACACTACATACTGGAGCATCACATAGCACCAGTACCATCACACTACATACTGGGGCATCACCTAGAACCAGTACCATCACACTACATACTGGGCCATCACATAGCACCAGTACCATCACACTACATACTGGGCCATCACATGCAACCAGTACCATCACACTACATACTGGAGCATCACATGCAACCAGTACCATCACACTACATACTGGGGCATCACCTAGAACCAGTACCATCACACTACATACTGGACCATCACATAGCACCAGTACCATCACACTACATACTGGGGCATCACATAGAACCAGTACCATCACACTACATACTGGGGCATCACATAGAACCAGTACCATCACACTTCATACTGGACCATCACAATAAAGCAGTCTGCTCTCTCGTAATCCACCAAGAGTCTACACTCACGTAATCCACCAATCGTAATCCACTTAGAGTCTGAACTCAACATAATCCACCAAGAGTCTGCATTCACATAATCCACCAAGAGTCTATTGTCACGTAACCCACCAATAGTCTACACTCACGTAATCCACTAAGAGTATGCACTCACGTAATCCACTAAGAGTATGCACTGACGTAATCCACCAAGAGTCTGCACTCACGTAATCCACCAAGAATCTGCACTCACGTAATCCACCAAGAGTCTGCACTCACGTAATCCACCAAGAGTCTGCACTCACGTAATCCACCAAGAGTCTGCACTCACATAATCCACCAAGAGTCTACACTCACATAATCCACCAAGAGTCTGCACTCAACGTAATCCACCAAGAGTCTGCACTCACATAATCCACCAAGAGTCTGCACTCACGTAATCCACCAAGAGTCTGCACTCACATAATCCACCAAGAGTCTGCACTCACGTAATCCACCAAGAGTCTGCACTCACATAATCCACCAAGAGTCTGCACTCACGCAATCCACCAAGAGTCTACACTGCTACAGTTAGGGTGCGGAGGCTACCGACCGCGGACTTCTCCAGTTGATGTCAGCAGCTCCCCTGCTGATGTAACCATGGCTCGACTGGCTCAACCATTCAGTCTGGCTGCAGAACAGAACTGACTTCTCTTCTCACTTGAACCAATTCGTCAGCTCCTAAAATTCACATCTGGTCACGTGTCCTCTGGCCCTCCACACGACGACCCTCTGTGCAGGAGTTTGAAACCGTTCCCGGTGTTGATTCCGGCCACCAGCACTACCACCGGCGACATCAGAGTCGTCTTTGGCGGCACTCACAGACGACACCCGAGGTCCCTGATGTCTCGACCAGCCGGCGGCACTCACAGGCGACACCCGGGGTCTCTGATGTCTCGACCAGCCGGCGGCACTCACAGGCGACACCCGGGGTCCCTGATGTGTCAACCAGCCGGCGGCACTCACAGGCGACACCCGGGGTCCCTGATGTCTCGACCAGCCGGCGGCACTCACAGGCGACACCCGGGGTCCCTGATGTCTCGATCAGCCGGCGGCACTCACAGGCGACACCCGGGGTCCCTGATGTGTCAACCAGCCGGCGGCACTCACAGACGACACCCGGGGTCCCTGATGTCTCGACCAGCCGGCGGTACTCACAGACGACACCCGGGGTCCCTGATGTGTCAACCAACCGGTGTACAACAGAGACTCATTCATTCACACTTTCGTTGCCCCATATAATCGAGAGAGCACTTTCTAATTTATTTCTATACCTTTGGCTCACAAAACATAAAGTCGAACTGCATACTGGAGCATCTTGTAACACCTCAACAGTGCTACTCCACTTAGTCACTTAAAACCCTAGCTTAACACTGCTTGCAAGCTCACTGTGACCCTCACTGAACTCCCAGCTAATTGTTAAACTGAAAACATTAAATGAAGGGAAGCTACAAATAAAGGGTGATGATTTAAATAAAGAATAATAATTAAACTTACGGCTGCCACCACCTTACTGAAATCAGAATGTGCTTGCACTACTGATCTCCCTGGAAGGACAAAGTCAATCATTGTGAACTCGATGGACGTAGGAATCTTGACGATAATGCTTGGGAATTATTTATAGAAATATTTACTTTAATTACTGAGGATACAGGGACTTCCAAAACAGCATATAAATACGACATTTAACGACTCAGTATTAATAAAAAAAGGGGGATTAACTAAATACCACTAAATCAATATTAACTTTATTTAACAAAAGATACTTTTATTTAATAAATTGGCACGAAAAAATATATCCTACTCTAAATACATCCCTATGAGGCAATATAAACGGAGTGCAATAACTGAGATACCAAAACTCAGACACACATTACCTTATTCCTGCAATTACTGGCCACAGATGTTAAATGGGTCTCTACCTCAGGCCCTTCATGCCTGACCGAGTTCCCACCCCAAACACTCCCAGGACACACTGAACTAAAATTTGTTTCACACGCTTACCAGTGGAAGGATAGCTCCTTCCACAACTAATACAGCTCCTGGGTTCCTCCCATTATTTTTGGCTACAGCCAACCATTTAAAAACTAGGCCTGAGGTCTGGCCCTCAAAGGCCAAGAAGGTCTTGGCACTTATCTACCGCCAATCACCTTCCAGGTCTGCTTGAAAGGTACATGAAATGCCCGTAGAGTCGTGTCAGCACTACCCAGCTACCCAGCTACCAGAAGGAACAAGGTCTCTTTGTAGTGGGTGGCCAACAGCGAGCTATGTTTACAGAAAAGGATGAAATATGTTCAAACCTGTTCCATGCAAGATACGGGAAGGAGACACTTGACTCGCCTGGTATGGTGAGGAGCTGGGGAGAGGGGAAAGAGTGGGGGGAAGAAAATGAATTGAGTGGGGGATGGAGTGGGGGGGATAGTGGCCAAGGGAGAAGAGCCGCCACGCCACCAGTGGCCTTTTGACTTTAAGAAAAATTGGGGAAGGGAAACTCTGGGCTGCTTCCCACAGGCCATTACAACTCCCCTTTCTTCAGAATTAAGAAATTCATGTGTAAAGTACTTTAAAGCACGAATTTCTTATCCTGCACCTACTGTAACCATTAACTCTCCCCCCAAAATTTTTTTTTGAACCAAAACAATATTTTGACTCAGTGCCTCTAAAAAGAAATGATCTAATCCTAGCTACTTCCATACAATCACTAATCCACATAATAACACCCAAAAATGCATGACACACATAGTAATATGAATGAATCACAAATGACACAAAATAAATGAGGACGGAAGACTGTCCCCATGATCTCGGCTGTCCACCTTGGATGCAGCCCCACATCTCTTCCAACTAAATCAAATTAATCCCTTAAAATTTAAACAAAAATCCATATCTATAAACTTAAAACTAGAGAAAACTTTGGATAGTCCTCAGCTATCTTGTAGAACTCGTATCATCACACTGCATACTGGAGCAGCATGTAGAACCAGCACTGTCACGCGGCACTACAACATAATGTAGAACTCGTACCATCACACTACATACTGAACCATCAGATACAATTAGCAGCATAAAACTACATACTGTAGCATAGAACAAAATTGGCACCGTTACACACTAGCATCACACTGGCACAACCGTTTTGATGATGGGCTTAGTGGCTTGTTAACCTCTGGAAGATGGTTCAGGACACGTATAAGAGCTCACTGTCCTCCTCTAAGTGTACATTGGGCCAAGAACTAAGAAATGCCCAGCGACCTGAAAGCTGCAGTATTAAAAACTATGACAACTTTTGTAATAATAGGTATTTGTATGGTCAGCACAGTAACCGGACCACGAAATGTGATGTAGTCATTGCGTGAATTCGCCTTGGCTATAGGCACATCTGGCAGGTTAATGAGGCTGAGCCACTACCAGAATATTCAGATTGTAAACTCTGTGATAAACCGTTAATGCATTTACTAGAACACTATATTGATGAATGTGAAACCGTAAAAGATTTTAGACCTCCTGGCCTCTTGTACCACCAACTGTAACTATTTCATTAAACCTGGTGTACTGGACGACATCCTAACAATTTATCCAAAATTTGCTTGTCCATTTTAAAGAATGAAGAACAGTTTTATTTTTTATTAATTTTATGCTGCATCTCCTATGAACCCATCCCTGCCCTTGTGTGGCAGTGCACAATAGAAAGTTGTTTTTTACATATTCGTACATTAAAACATTAATTGTATGACCCTCTGTCCTGTGTGACAGTCAATACCAGCTTTATCCTTACTTTAATAAGACCTAATTGAAATCCTCAGATTAGCAAAATTGTAATTAAATTTTGTCAATAAAGGTGTTAATAATAATAATAATGTGTGTATGTAAGGGCAGTGGAACATGTTCTTAGTTACAGTTGTATAATTGCAGTGTCTGGCGCAGTGCTGGTACACGGCTGTCGATACACAGATCTACATTGTGCTTCCACTGGTGCTCGCGCCTCTTCTTTACAAGCGCAAGATTGGTGAGTGTTACAGCTGTGGGGAAACTCCAGGCAGCTATTCTCCTTTTAAACTGACTTTAATAAAATAAAGTTTTGTCTTATTTATTTTCTTAGTAAGTAAGAAGTAATTGAGTGGACTGTATGTACTTGATTAAACTGCCTGAAATTATCTCACACAGTTGGAGGGACAATTTGTAGCTTAAACCACTTTGAGATGGCTCATTCTTAAACCACAAATTGTTTATCTTATTAATATAATTATCATACCACATATGGTGGTCCACTTTATTATTATATCAGACCACATATGGTGGTCTAATCTACTAGTAATAATTACTAATTATGAATACTAATACTACTATAACTAAAGAGGGCTTAGCTGTTCCTGTTGAAGGGGCCTGCTAAGGCTGTGTAATGGTAGTATCAATATAGGTGTGGCCCTGTGCCTCTTTGTGCCACGTAATGGCGGCCGTGAAGACTACAAGCCCTGGCAAATAGCTAGACAAATTATGTGTAGTGCCAACTGTCTGCTCAATTTCTTGCTATTCCAAATCACAGTTTACCTGTATGGGATACAAGGAGTTAATAACAGTTCCCTAAATATATAATTACAGGTATGGCATGAAATAGGTGGGTGTTAAATGGGGTACACGTACTTCGTGGGGTTGTTATTCATACGTCATAACCAGCTACCTTATAAATGAAAAAAAATGTGTACACAAATAATTCAAATATAGTATACTTGGTAAGCCGGATACAGGATTGCTCTAGTGATAGTAGTGGTGTTGTCGTGGTAGTTGCTTGGGGCAGAGTAAGTCTATCCAAGGCGACTAGTATCACAACACTTCTGGAGCACCCTTTATTGTTGTTGATGCGAGTGTGAGTTTTGTGGGACCGACGCCCCTGAGGGCATGGTTCCACTTCTAAAGTAATTTTACATTAACAAGGGAATCAAGCTACATTTTGGTGTTAGTAATTATATTCAGTCTTGTTGAGTACTTTTGTGTTAAATTTAGATGCATGACTGTTGTATAAACAGTATTAGAATTTGTAAATATACGAGTTGTCTCTGACGTCACAGGATCTCCCATTTTCTATTATTAAGAGAATACTGACTAAGGGGAGACTATGTTATTATCTGTGTGTCGGATTCCGACAGCAGCGTTACCATGTGAAGCCTTCAGAGGTGTGGGTACTATCCGTTTAAGGACATTAGTGCTTATATATTAATATAACATAATTTCTTCTTCATATCCCTTCTTCTACCCCCCCTCCCCTTGAGTACATTTTTTTTTTTTAAATCTGGTGCTTATAGAACAAAACTCCTTTGTTATCAACATATGAGTTTTGTCTCTGCTATTACTATTGTATCCAGGTGTTTTTCCTCTGTTATTTTCTTCGTGTAATTTGCTGCTTTAGAGAGCCCATCAACTGCGGGTGGTCACTGTGATTCATACTTACGTTCCTCCCCAGGACTTCCACTGCTGGGGTTGGTCACTGCGGTATCCTTCGCCATCCCAACGACAATAGCGGCTGTCTATAATGTGCCTCCTGCATTCAACTTTATGTAAGTTGTTCATTATTCTTCAAATGTCTGATTAATTTAGTTTAACTTCAGCTTTGCTTTATTATCTGAACAAATTATGACATGTAAAAAGCGCTCGGGATTTTGCTAAGTGCATAAGCAACAATAAGCAATAAATTCCTTTGCTTTAAACTTAGCGAGGCCTCTTACTAAATTACTAATCCTAATCTCCCCATCAAAGTCAGGTCTTATTGCAAAAACATTATTCTGAGAACTGTTTTTTGTAAAGCATTGGACAATCATCCCTTCCAGTTCGGCCCATTACCCACGCAGCTGTCAACCCATTCACCACCCATCACCCACCCAGCTGTCAACCTATTCACCACCCATCACCCACCCAGCTGTCAACCTATTCACCACCCATCACCCACGCAGTTGTCAACCCATTCACCACCCATCACCCACGCAGTTGTCAACCCATTCACCACCCATCACCCACCTAGCTGTCAACCCATTCACCACCCATCACCCACTCAGCTGTCAACCCATTCACCACCCATCACCCACCCAGCTGTCCACCCATTCACCACCCATCACCCACCTAGCTGTCAACCCATTCCCATTCCCCACTCCCATTCAAACTATCACTAATAGAGTAACCTCATTCATCTTTGCCAACATACAAGGACTGAAAACAAGAACAAACAACAAAGTACAGTTCATAAATGGCCTCCTCACGGAGTCAAATGCAGTATTTGGAGCTTTCACAGAAACCCATGCAGGGGAATTGTTGGACAGTGAGATCTGGATTCCAGGATATAACCTATACAGGTGTGATAGGAAAATTAGGTCACATGGAGGAGTGGGTCTGTATATTAGGGAAGACCTTGTATGCTCGGAGCTCCTAAACGTTACAAATGAGGTGGTAGAGGTACTGGGATTAAAAATAGAGAAAATAAATTTAGTGATTATACTAATATACAAACCGCCAGATGCAACGGCTGAGGAATTCACAGAACAGATAAGCAAAATAGAGAATAGCCTTGATAATTTGGAGAACCCGATACCTGATATTATCTTCCTAGGTGACTTCAACTTGCCTAGTCTCAGGTGGAAAATAGCAAACAATAATATTATACCAGGAAATCTATCAGGACCTAACCAACCACAGATTAGAGAACTACTTAGATTCTGTGACAAATTTTCACTCAATCAGCAGATATCGGAGCCAACGAGAAATTAAAATATTCTAGATCTGGTCTTTACGAACAATGAAGACATTATCAGAGACATTACGATATCAGATACCACATATTCAGATCACAAGCTCATTGAAGTGCAAACGACCATCAATACTCAGAATAGACCTAAAACGTTGATAAAGCGAGAGGGGCTATTCAGTAAATTCAATTTTAATAATAAAAGGATAGACTGGGAGATAATAAACAGGGAACTTACAAACATTCCATGGGGAACTGTTCTAAGTAATACAAGTCCTACAGAAGGAATAGAAAAACTGACTTCAGAAGCGTATCAAGTCTGTCTGAAACATGTTCCTTTGAGGAAAGCCAGAAAGAGATCTAACGTAAAAAGAGAACGCAGACGGCACTATAAACGCAGGAAAAAAATAACGGAACTGCTTATGCAGACACGAATTTCCCGTCAAAGAAGGAATAATTTAAATAGGGAGATTGAAGAAATCAAGCGGAAATTGAAACACTCATATGAAACTGAAGAAAGGCAGTTAGAACAGAAAGCCATTCAGGAAATAAAGAAAAATCCAAAATATTTCTTCTCATATGCGAAATCAAAAGCAAAAACCACTGCCAGTATTGGACCTATTCGTACAAGTGAAGGTTCATACACGGAGGATGACAAAGAAATTAGTGAAATCCTAAAAAAGCAGTATGAGGACATGTTTAGCACTCCAATAAACAACATGAAGGTGGAAGATCCAGACAATTTCTTTATGCGGGATATTCAAACCCCTGTAAATATAACTGATATAAACACGAGCGCACTAAATTTTGAAAAAGAAATTGAAAACATGCCCATGCACTCGGCCCCAGGTCCAGACTCATGGAATTCAATATTTATAAAGAAATGCAAAGTGCCGGTAGCACAGGCACTCAGTATAGTGTGGAGGAAGAGCTTGGACACGGGGGAGATACCAGATGCACTTAAAGTAGCAGACATAGCCCCTCTACACAAGGGAGGGAGCAAAGCATTGGCAAAAAATTATAGACCAGTTGCACTAACATCGCACATCATAAAAGTATTTGAGAGAGTGATTAGGAGTCAGGTCACCAATTTCATGGAGACCAATGACCTTCACAACCCAGGCCAACATGGATTTCGAGCGGGAAGATCGTGCCTCTCACAGCTACTTGAGCACTACGACAAAGTCACTGAGGCATTAGAAGAGAAACAGAATGCTGATGTGATATACACGGACTTCGCAAAGGCTTTCGATAAATGTGACCATGGCGTGATAGCACACAAAATGAAGTCAATGGGAATAACCGGTAAAGTAGGACGCTGGATACTCAGTTTTCTGTCAAACAGGACTCAGCGAGTAACTGTCAACCATATAAAATCTAGTCCAAGTGCAGTGAAAAGCTCTGTACCTCAGGGTACAGTCCTTGCACCGCTGCTTTTCCTTATTCTCATATCAGATATAGACAAAAATACAAGTCACAGCTTCGTATCATCCTTTGCAGATGACACAAAAATCAGTATGAAAATTACCTCGGCTGAGGACATTGAAAAACTTCAAGCTGATATTAATAAAGTTTTCGACTGGGCATCAGAAAATAACATGATATTTAACAGTGATAAATTCCAGGTACTCAGGTACGGTAAAAATGAGGACCTTAAACATAATACAGAGTACAAAACACAATCAAATGTACCCATAGTAGGAAAACAGCATGTAAAGGATTTGGGAATAATAATGTCTGACGACCTAACGTTTAAGGAGCATAACCAAGCAAATATTGCGACAGCCAGAAAAATGATAGGATGGATTACGAGAACTTTCAAATCCAGGGATCCCATCACAATGGTTGTACTCTTCAAGTCACTTGTGTTGTCCCGTCTTGAGTACTGTTCAGTACTCACTTCCCCATTCAGAGCAGGAGAGATTGCTGAAATAGAGGGAATACAGAGAACATATACGGCACGCATAGATGCAATAAAGCACCTAAATTATTGGGATCGTCTCAAAGCCCTCCAAATGTACTCACTAGAAAGAAGACGAGAGAGATATCAAATAATATACACCTGGAAGATACTGGAGGGCCAAGTACCAAATCTACACAGTAAAATAACAACGTACTGGAGTAAACGATATGGAAGAAAATGTAGAATAGAACCAGTGAAGAGCAGAGGTGCCATAGGCACAATCAGAGAACACTGTATAAACATCAGAGGTCCGCGGTTGTTCAACGTCCTCCCAGCAAGCATAAGAAATATTGCCGGAACAACCGTGGACATTTTCAAGAGGAAACTAGATTTATTCCTCCAAGGAGTGCCGGACCAACCAGGCTGTGGTGGGTATGTGGGCCTGCGGGCCGCTCCAAGCAACAGCCTGGTGGATCAAACTCTCACAAGTCAAGCCTGGCCTCGGGCCGGGCTTGGGGAGTAGAAGAACTCCCAGAACCCCATCAACCAGGTATCAACCAGGTATCCCTCAGTCACGTAGCTGTCAACCCATCGACTTCCATTCAGCCATCCAGTGAACTCACAACACTCTGGGGTCCTATAATGACCTCAGTGGGGTCCTGTGGTGACCCCCCAAACCCTCCCTGGGGTCCATTGTTTATCCCAAGACCACCTGTGTACCTGCCACTCCCACTTATCGTCTCAGTAATGATGTTTTCGGCACTTTTTTTTCCTATTTGTTGTTTATATAATCCTAAATGCACACAAGCATATACATATTCAAATGTATATGTATTCATGTATATCTTACATTCATGTGTTTGATGCATGTGAATGTGAAATGTCTTGGCTATACTACATTCAGTTCACACTTATTCGTGTCATGAGCATCTAACTAAACAAGTATTCTTTTCCATGTTGTGTTATTTCAGTGTTTGTTTCATGATTTCTCTTAATAAAGATGTCATAATTATCATCTGTTGTGTTATTATTTAACATACAATTTTACTTATTATTTTGTATTTTCAATGCATAGATATTCAGCTATGAACATGTTTGAAAAATGTATGGAATATTTAATTTCTCAAACTTTATATATATAAAAGAGACCTAGATTGAGTACTGCAATTTGGTCTAAAGTGTTTTGTTTACTGTGACAGAGACCCGGTTGTAAAACCGACTGCTCGCGTGGACACCTACATGACCCCGTGGTGTCGAGCCAACTCTTACATGGTGGGTGTGTGGGCTGGCTGGCTCATCTACACTGTGCGAGGCCGCACCATCAAACTCAAGCTGGTAAGGACACGCTTAATTGCTTGCATTATAAACTGCAGCAGCCACGTATAGGCCCATAGACCTTCTGCAGTTTCTTCCATTCTTATGCCTTTAACGGAGATTTGGGTCTCTCTTCATTATTCTGTTGTCATCAATCCAGCTATGTCCATCAAATGTTCACATGTGCTACTTACATGCAAACTTATATGCAAATAATTTCATAATAACGTACCTGAATAAATACTGTAACCAACTCCCAACATGAATGGGTTCAGAATGGACTGAAACGTCTTCGCCATTTTAAAATTAGTTGTAAATCCTTCCCTCATATGTTGTTACCACAAAAAAGAGAAGGGGGTTTATGTAAATACAAAAATTAAATTAAACTCCCGAAAGAAAATGAACAGCTTAGCTGTTAGTGAAAGTGGTTACCGGGGATCCTCTCCTTGAGTGGCTTCAGGTTGTGTGCGGGGAAGAAGACCCAGACAGGAATTATTGCTGCCCTCAATGACGAATTTCGCCGAATGTAGAAATAAAGGTCGGTTATCAGCAGAAACTAATGTGCCTCGCGGCCAATAAACACACAGACGGGCGATAATTGGGGAGCCCCAAGAGTCCCTCAGAGTGACAAGCACCGGCCCCGCCCCACACAGAGAACACTGGGGAGCCCCAAGAGTCCCTCAGGGTGACAAGCACCGGCCCCGCCCCACACAGAGAACACTGGGGGAGCAAAACCAAAAACTCGGACCCAACTAAAGCGCAAGTCATCCAGTGCCCGCCGGCAGAGCAGATGCCAGCCGCCCATTACGGCTGAGGGCACACCAGGAGCCCACCAACCCCCGGCACCTCTCGGCCAAGCCGGCGCCGGACACCGTCACTCCGCCAGGAGAACCAGCCAGAACACGCAAAAAAAAAAAAAACTATCAACAATCCCGCATCCCAAGGCGATATGTGCGCCAGGCGTCGTACAACCGGACTGTTGAAGAACGGCAAACGGCAGTATCAAATTCAAAACGCGAAAACAGAACGTGATCCGGCGGCTCCCAGGTGGAGGAGGTGTCCAGACGTCCGCTCGTCATCAAGGTTGAACCAGGAGTCCGTCCCTGGTGACTGTAGTTGTGTTGATTTAGGGGCGATCCCTGGTGACTGTTGTTGTGTGAGACTGGCCTGCTGACGACGCTTCATCTCCAGGTGGCAGTGCGTGGGGCGGGTGTATCGTGCCCGCTCTCCATTAAACTCTTGATATTAACTCGTGATTGCCTAATTTATCTGTCCTAACAGCTAACTACCCAAATTATTATTAATATCGAACTATTAAGATAATTTTTAAGGAGTAATTTGTTTGATGTAACCTGAAAAGGGAATCATTACCGGCACCTCTCGGTTCTGTTTGGTGTCATGCGACGTCGGATTTCGCTAAATCGAGTTTTCTTTTATTACTGCCCCACAGTCATCATGGTTTGACATCTAATAATGGCTAGACACGCGCCATGTGCTCCATTGTGCTATAAGTCACCTATAGGCCATGACTAACCTAACCTTAAGTGGATATTTTCCCACAGCCTTCATTTGAGGTATGTGTTGTTCTACCTAGTGTGTCTCGTATGTGCGTATGGAAGTTGCCTTTCGGCAGCTATACATGATACTCTGGTTATATTAATGCTTGGTTAACACATTTCTGAAAATACTGAGCCTGTTTCTAATGTTACTAGATGGGGTTCCCTCTAGAAGGGGGATGATGTTGGGGGAGTTGGGATGTTGGGGGAAAGGGAAGAAGAGGAGGGAGGAGGAAGGTGAAGAGGAAAGGAAAGAGGATGGGGGAGATTGGGAATGAGAGTGGAAAGGGAAGGAGAGCTAGAGAGGGGGATGTTGGGGGACAAAAGGGGAGAAGGGGGATAGGGAAGGATAGATGAGAGTGTAAGAGAGATTAATAGAGAGGGGGAAGTATCAGAAGACTTAGCCAGTACGACTATATCAACCCGTCCTCCTGAAGTGAGAGTACTTACAGTAACCAGTTGGTCGTAAGTACCAATATGTAGTGATGGATCACCAAAACCTTCCTTTTTTTGTACTTTGAATTGTATAGTCCTGAAAAATAAAGCCAAAACTATACTTATATATTCCTAAGTCTAGTGTAGCACATATATGTACAATATTAGGCCTAAGACAGCGTGTTTTAGGCCTAGGGGTGCTAGGATAGGTCTTATATTTATTTTGTCGTTCAAAAGTTTCACATTTGTTCAAATTTAATAACATAAGTCAATTTTTGTTGCTGGTCCATCACGACATATTGATAGTGACGAAATGGTTGCAGTAAGTATCTTCATAGTAGGAGGATGGGTCGGACCACATATTACACATGCTGGGATATGTGGACAAGGTGCTGGGATATGTGGACAAGGTGCTGAGATATTTGGACAAGGTGCTGGGATATGTGGACAAGGTACTGGGATATGTGGACAAGGTGTTTGGATATGGACAAGGTGCTGGGATATGTTGACAAGGTACTGGGATATGTGGACAAGGTGCTGGGATATGTGGACCAGGTACTGGGATATGTGGACCAGGTACTGGGATATGTGGACAAGGTACTGGGATACGTGCACAAGGTACTGGGATACGTGGACAAGGTACTGGGATATGTGGACAAGGTGCTGGGATATGTGGACAAGGTGCTGGGATATGTGGACAAGGTACTGGGATATGTGAACATGGTACTGGGATAAGACGAAGGGAAGGAGTGGTGCCCAACCACTTGGACTGGTTGGTACACAAGTGGTCTCGTTTCTTGCATATCGAACGTCGGCGTTCGATTCGCGAGATGCTAACAATGAATAAATAATTAAGTGCAATACCACACAAGGTAAGTAATGGTGATATATTTAATACGAGAGTTTTGGAGGGATGGTGGAGTAAGACACAGTTCCTCTCTGTGACCCCAAACAATCACAGTCCTTCCATGACCAGTAATATTTGCCTCTCCCGCTGGGTGTAGTGGCAGACGGTGTTGGGGTGGGCTGCGGCGACGACGGTGGCCTCGCTGGTGCTGTACGGGATGGCCAGGTACGACACCTGGGGGGACGACCAGGTGCCCCTCCCTCGCGCCCCCAGCATCATCTACGCGGGCTTCAGCCGGGGCGCCTGGTGCCTCGCCCTCCTCTGGCTCGTCTTTGCTTGTCATACTGGAAATGGAGGTGAGAGGCACGTCTGGCTTGACGACTTGTCAATGTGTCGTATAAAGATTATTTATAGGTAGGAACTGAGGCATTTATAGGTAGGACTCTGAGGACAATAACGTTTCTAGACAAATGAATAGTAGTTTACTTGTCGGACGGGCGACCTGGGCACGATAATAGAATAATGAAAATAAATAAATAAAAATTGTTTTAGAATGCACGCATGTAATGAATAATGCATGTAATTAAATACTTAATTCGTGTTATGAAATTATTGCACGTGTTTACACACACACACATAAGGGAGTACCTAAGCAACAGAAGACAGCGAGTCACTGTGAGGGGTGAGGTCTCGGATTGGCAAGGCGTCACCAGTGGAGTCCCGCAGGGGTCAGTCCTTGGACCTATACTGTTTCTGATATATGTAAATGATCTCCCAGAGGGTATAGACTCGTTCCTCTCATTGTTTGCTGATGATGCAAAAATTATGAGGAGGGTTAAAACAAAGGAGAGAGAATGAGGCTACAAGATGACCTAGACAAACTGAATGAATGGTCCAACAAATAGCTACTAAATTTCAACTCGAGTAAATGTAAGGTAATAAAGCTAGGTGGTGGAAACAGGAGGCCAGACACAGGATACATAATGGGAGATGAAGTACTTCATGAAACGGACAGAGAAAAAGATCTAAGGGTTGATATCACACCAAACCTGCCTCCTGAAGCCCACATAAAAAGAATAACATCTGCGGCGTATGCAAGGCTGGCTAACATCAGAACTGCCTTCAGGAACCTGTGCAAGCAATCATTCGGAACCTTGTACACCACATATGTAAGACCAATCCTGACGTATGCGGCCCCAGCATGGAGCCCGTACCTTGTCAAGCACAAGAAGAAGCTGGAAAAAGTTCAGAGGTATGCCACTAGGCTAGTCCCAGAACAAAGAGGCATGAATTACGAGGAAAGGCTGCGTAAAATGCATCTCACGACACTGGAAGACAGAAGAGAAAGGGGAGACATGATCACTACCTACAAAAATCTCAGAGGAATGACAGGGTTGAAAAGGACAAACTGTTTAACACGGGTGGTATACGAACAAGGGGACACAGGCAGAAGCTGAGTACCCAAATGAGCCACAGGGACGTTAGAAAGAACTTTTTCAGTGTCAGAGTAGTTAACAGGTGAAATGCACAAGGATGATGTGGTGGAGGCTGACTCCATGCGCAGTTTCAAATGTAGATATGAGCCCAGTAGGCTCAGGAATCTGTACATCAGTTGATTGACGGTTGAGAGGCGGGACCAATGAGCTAAAGTTCAACCCCCTACAAGCACAACTAGGTGAGTACACACACGCGAGAGAGCAGAACAAGTACTGAAGGAAAGAGAAGTGAGGATCAGGCTGGAGGAACTGGTCCTTAAGCTATGGAGAAGCTGAGGGTGAGCCCAAGCGTCACCACAGGTCTTGAATAACCAGGCATTTGGCAAGCTGCAAATTTAGCATCTTTATACACGAATGAAAACAGAGGAGAAAATGTTAACTACAGGTGTTGCTGAAATTGTTCCCTGCAAAACTTGGCAACATTACAAAAACTCGCCTCCAAGCATTATTATGGATTCAGTAGATTATTATTTTTACATAATCCATTACTTTTATGACAAAATGATAATATGGGCGCGAGATATCGAGTACATTGGAATTAGCACTGCATCACTTGCCTGTTACTAAACCCATACTAGGCGGGTCCCCTGCATATTCCATCAATATCTGAGAGCGTTTGAAACCATCTTCTTGAGGTTATCTTGAGATGATTTCGGGGCTTTAGTGTCCCCGCGGTCCGGTCCTCGACCAGGCCTCCACCCCCAGGAAGCAGCCCGTGACAGCTGACGGGCTGCTTCCTGGGGGTGGAGGCCTGCTTTACCTAGCAGTAAATAGGTACCCAGGTACCTCTTTACTGCTAGGTAACAGGGGCAAGGGTGAAAGAAACTCTGCCCATTGTTTCTCGCCGGCGCCCGGGATCCAACTCAGAACCACAGGATCACAAGTCCAGCGTGCTGTCCGCTCGGCCGACCGCCTCCCGGATCGTGTGTGAAGTGCTCATATAAATACTTGATAACAAAGCCAATGCAACTGTGAAGGTGTTGGGATGGTCGAGGGGATGCCTCTCGGATAGGAAACAGAGGAAAGAAGAGAGAAGATAGAGACGCAACAGGTCACAAGTGGAAAGCTTTGGCGATCGGAAATGGTACTCAGTTTGTTGTTTAATTGTGGTACCAGCCTGAGAGAGGACCTGGATTGTGGTACCAGCCTGAGAGAGGACCTGGATTGTGGTACCAGCCTGAGAGAGGACCTGGATTGTGGTACCAGCCTGAGAGAGGACCTGGATTGTGGTACCAGCCTGAGAGAGGACCTGGATTGTGGTACCAGCCTGAGAGAGGACCTGGATTGTGGTACCAGCCTGAGAGAGTTCTTGGATTGTGGTACCAGCCTGAGAGAGGACCTGGATTTGTGGTACCAGCCTGAGAGAGGACCTGGATTGTGGTACCAGCCTGAGAGAGGACCTGGATTGTGGTACCAGCCTGAGAGAGGACCTGGATTATTCATATTGATATTTGCAGACGATACAAAAACTGGTGAAATAATAAGAAAATGAGACCTGGATGTGTATATGGATATGCAGTAGCGGATTATCATGCAATATAGTGAAGTTATTTGTGTAGTGTTTTGGTGAATATAATATTTAACACTTATTTATTTTTTTTGTCAAGCGACTTAACAATGTTCAGGCGATGAGTCACAATAACGTGGCTAAAGTATGTTGACCAGACCACACACTAGAAGATGAAGGGACGACGACGTCCGTCCTGGACCATTCTCAAGTCGATTCGTGGACTTGAGAATAGTCCAGGACGGACCGAAACGTCGTCGTCCCTTCACCTTCTAGTGTGTGGTCTGGTCAACTTAACAATGTTATTTTATTTTGACTTAGTAAATGGCGTCTGTCTGCAGGTCTGATCAACTCGTTCCTGTCCCACCCGTCCTGGCAGCCTCTGAGCCGTCTGACCTACACACTCTACCTCACCGCTGTGCCTCTTCAGTCCCTGTTCCCCGGCCAGGTCTACCTGCCTTTCTACATCAACCATCTCAATATGGTCGGTACTCCTAGAAGACGTGTGTCATTTGTATTGTGTCAAGAAGGGAAGGGAACTATGAGAGGGGAACGCGTCAGGTCATTACAATTATATAGCACTGGGAAGGATAAGGATCTGGGATGGGACGGGGGAGAGGAATTGTGCCCAACCACTTGAACGGTCTTGGATTGAACGCCGGCCTGCATGAAGCGAGACTGTCGCTCTTCCGTCCAGCCCAAGTGGTTAGGCATATTGTGTCAAGATATATTATGAGATGTAAATGATGCCTCTCATCAATATAGGTTTGGACCATCCCACTTAGATATCACAAAACTTTTATCTTCAGAGGAGCTAGACTCAAATATTAATTTTATAAGAAGGTAAATTACTCTGTAAGAGAGATGCTCGAGTGGTTCTAAGCTGCTAACTTAGTCCTGAGTCACAATATATAACTGACTCTTGATCCAACAGATTGTTTATGCGTGCGGCTTCCTGTTTATTGGAGGTATACTGGCGGTGTTGCTGTCTGTTATGACGGAGGGACCCGTTATAGGCCTGGAGAAGCTCCTCCTGCACCGCCCAGGTCAGTCTATACATGGGGGAGGCGGCCAGCGTCCAGGTATACATGGGGGAGGCGGCCAGCGTCCAGGTATACATGGGGGAGGCGGCCAGCATCCAGGTATACATGGGGGGGGCGTGCAGCGGCCAGGTATACGTGGGGGGGGGGGCGGGCAGCGGCCAGGTATATATGGGGGAGGCGGCCAGCGTCCAGGTATACATGGGGGAGGCGGCCAGCGTCCAGGTATACATGGGGGAGGCGGCCAGCGTCCAGGTATACATGGGGGAGGCGGCCAGCGACCAGGTATACATGGGGGGGGGGCGTGCACCGCCCAGGTCAGTCTATACATGGGGGAGGCGGCCAGCGTCCAGGTATACATGGGAGAGGCGGCCAGCGACCAGGTATACATGGGGGGGCGGGCAGCGGCCAGGTATACATGGGGGGAGGCGGCCAGCGACCAGATATACATGGGGGGCGGGCAGCGGCCAGGTATACATGGGGGGAGGCGGCCAGCGACCAGGTATACATGGGGGAGGCGGCCAGCGGCCAGGTATACATGGGGGGGTGGGCAGCGGCCAGGTATACATGGGGGAGGCGGCCAGCGACCAGGTATACATGGGGGGGAAGGTGGGCAGCGTCCAGGTATACATGGGGGGAAGGTGGGCAGCGTCCAGGTATACATGGGGGGAAGGTGGCAGCGTCCAGGTATACATGGGGGGGAAGGTGGGCAGCGTCCAGGTATACATGGGGGGAAGGTGGGCAGCGTCCAGGTATACATGAGGGGGGGAAGGTGGCAGCGTCCAGGTATACATGGGGGGGAAGGTGGGCAGCGACCAGGTATACATGAGGGGGGAAGGTGGCAGCGTCCAGGTATACATGGGGGGGAAGGTGGGCAGCGTCCAGGTATACATGAGGGGGGGAAGGTGGCAGCGTCCAGGTATACATGGGGGGGAAGGTGGGCAGCGACCAGGTATACATGAGGGGGGGAAGGTGGCAGCGTCCAGGTATACATGGGGGGGAAGGTGGGCAGCGACCAGGTATACATGAGGGGGGGAAGGTGGCAGCGTCCAGGTATACATGGGGGGGAAGGTGGGCAGCGACCAGGTATACATGAGGGGGGGAAGGTGGCAGCGGCCAGGTATACATGGGGGGAGGCGGCCAGGGACCAGATATACATGGGGGGGCGGGCAGCGGCCAGGTATACATGGGGGGAGGCGGCCAGCGACCAGGTATACATGGGGGAGGCGGCCAGCGGCCAGGTATACATGGGGGGGGTGGGCAGCGTCCAGGTATACATGGGGGAGGCGGGCAGCGGCCAGGTATACATGGGGGAGGCGGCCAGCGACCAGGTATACATGGGGGGGAAGGTGGGCAGCGTCCAGGTATACATGGGGGAAGGTGGGCAGCGTCCAGGTATACATGGGGGGAAGGTGGCAGCGTCCAGGTATACATGGGGGGGAAGGTGGGCAGCGTCCAGGTATACATGGGGGGAAGGTGGGCAGCGTCTAGGTATACATGAGGGGGGGAAGGTGGCAGCGTCCAGGTATACATGGGGGGGAAGGTGGGCAGCGACCAGGTATACATGAGGGGGGAAGGTGGCAGCGTCCAGGTATACATGGGGGGGAAGGTGGGCAGCGTCCAGGTATACATGAGGGGGGGAAGGTGGCAGCGTCCAGGTATACATGGGGGGGAAGGTGGGCAGCGACCAGGTATACATGAGGTGGGGAAGGTGGCAGCGTCCAGGTATACATGGGGGGGAAGGTGGGCAGCGACCAGGTATACATGAGGGGGGGAAGGTGGCAGCGTCCAGGTATACATGGGGGGGAAGGTGGGCAGCGACCAGGTATACATGAGGGGTGGAAGGTGGCAGCGTCCAGGTATACATGGGGGGGAAGGTGGGCAGCGACCAGGTATACATGAGGGGGGAAAGGTGGCAGCGTCCAGGTATACATGGGGGGGAAGGTGGCAGCGACCAGGTATACATGAGGGAAGGTGGGCAGCGACCAGGTATACATGAGGGAAGGTGGCAGCGACCAGGTATACATGAGGGAAGGTGGGCAGCGACCAGGTATACATGAGGGAAGGTGGGCAGCGTCCAGGTATACATGGGGGAAGGTGGCAGCGACCAGGTATACATGAGGGAAGGTGGGCAGCGACCAGGTATACATGAGGGAAGGTGGCAGCGACCAGGTATACATGAGGGAAGGTGGGCAGCGACCAGGTATACATGGGGGAAGGTGGCAGCGACCAGGTATACGTGAGGGAAGGTGGGCAGCGTCCAGGTATACATGAGGGAAGGTGGCAGCGACCAGGTATACATGAGGGAAGGTGGGCAGCGACCAGGTATACATGAGGGAAGGTGGGCAGCGACCAGGTATACATGAGGGAAGGTGGGCAGCGTCCAGGTATACATGGGGGAAGGTGGCAGCGTCCAGGTATACATGAGGGAAGGTGGCAGCGTCCAGGTATACATGGGGGAAGGTGGCAGCGACCAGGTATACATGGGGGAAGGTGGCAGCGACCAGGTATACATGAGGGAAGGTGGGCAGTGCCCAGGTATACATGGGGGAAGGTGGCAGCGTCCAGGTATACATGAGGGAAGGTGGGCAGTGCCCAGGTATACATGGGCGAAGGTGGCAGCGACCAGGTATACATGAGGGAAGGTGGGCAGCGTCCAGGTATACATGAGGGAAGGTGGGCAGCGATCAGGTATACATGAGGGAAGGTGGGCAGCGTCCAGGTATACATGGGGGAAGGTGGCAGCGTCCACCCCGATATGTTGACTTTTCGAGTGGTGGAAATTCGGCCCCCAAGAGAAGAGATCGTAGTGTATTATAAAATTACATTAATTCAGGCATACAAGAAGGATGAGAAGTTGATATGAGATATAATTGACAGGAATTGCAAACCTTGCAGTGAAAACGTAAGATTTGCAAATATATTATATATATATATATATATATATATATATATATATATATATATATATATATATATATATATATATATATATATGTCGTACCTAATAGCCAGAACGCACTTCTCAGCCTACTATGCAAGGCCCGATTTGCCTAATAAGCCAAGTTTTCATGAATTAATTGTTTTTCGACTACCTAACCTACCTAACCTAACCTAACCTAACTTTTTCGGCTACCTAACCTAACCTAACCAATAAAGATAGGTTAGGTTAGGTTAGGTAGGGTTGGTTAGGTTCGGTCATATATCTACGTTAATTTTAACTCCAATAAAAAAAATTGACCTCATACATAATGAAATGGGTAGCTTTATCATTTCATAAGAAAAAAATTAGAGAAAATATATTAATTCAGGAAAACTTGGCTTATTAGGCAAATCGGGCCTTGCATAGTAGGCTGACAAGTGCGTTCTGGCTACTAGGTACGACATATATATATATATATATATATATATATATATATATATATATATATATATATATATATATATATATATATATATATATATATATATATATATATATATATATTTTTTTTTTTTTTTTGTGAGGGTACCACCTCTGGTGCCAATGTGGGGACCCATAGCCTCGGAGAAGAAAATAAAAAGTATTCAGAGGAGACCTTGTGGTTTCTCACTGAACACTAATATTATCTCCTCCTACCACCCCCATTCTTTTGTATGTACACATTATATATATATATATATATATATATATATATATATATATATATATATATATATATATATATATATATATTCTTCTCTTTGTCAGGGCGAGGATTGAGTGATATACCAGACGAGACTAAGATTACCAGAAAATGAAGTGCCACGTTCCTCTCTACGTCATGTGGATTTTAACTTTTGTTCGTTTGTTAATTAGCTATATCTGGATATTTAGGGTTCCAAGCATCTAAAGCCTTAATATTAAAATTGCATTGTAAAAGGATTTGTAAACAAAGGTTAGGTTAGGTTGGGTTATGTTAGGTTAGGTTAGGTTGATTTGGGTTAGGTTATGTTAAGTTGGGTTGGGTTGGGTTTGGTTGGGTTGGGTTGGGTTGAGTTATGATAGGTTAGGTTAAATTATGTGGTGCGGAGAATTCAGTGATCATATTTTCAATATCATTCTAAGGCTGATTTCAAATTTGTCTGGTCATGGACATGACTGAGGTTGAGGCACTAAGATTCCTGCAAGAATGATCAAAAGTTGTTTTAACTTGGCTTTATATTGACCAGGAAGTAATGTACAAATAGCAGGCAAAGTTTCGTGTTCATATATGCACAATAAATACTTTATAAGATATTCAATTGTTTTATTAACTTGAATTTGACACAGAGGCTTTTTAAGGACTAATGATTTCATGTCTCAGATGCAACTTCAGTAACTACTGCTGTTGCTTTCAATAGTTTTTATGTTGGTTTATTAATTGATTCGTTCAGTGTTTAATTCATTAGGTAACAAGTTATATTGCTTGACTGAATCACACTGTATTAATAGTCAAGATGATGTCTTTGAAATTTTGTTTTAATTTTTAAGTCGATGGGGATATCTACGTATATTATGATTGGCAGGTTACATGACAAGGGCGTGGACCACATAGTACCTTAGTGCTCAAGTGGTGCCCCAGGGGGAGGCCCAACGTCTCAGTTGGATACCAGGGGCCAGATTCACGAAAACACTTACGAACGTGTACATCTTTCCTCAATCTTTGACGGCTTTGGTTACATTTATTAAACAGTTTACAAGCATGAAAACTTTCCATTCAACTGTTGTTATTGTTATAAACAGCCTTCTGGTGCTTCGGAGCTCATTAACTGTTTAATAATTGTAAACAAAGCCGCCAAAGATTGAGAAAAGATGTACAGGTTCGTAAGTGTTTGCGTAAGTGCTTTCGTGAATCTGTCCCCTGTTGCGCATCTTTGAGATCTTCTCTTATTGTGTGTGTTTAATAGCTCATTGGTTAAAGTTTCGGGCACCCGTTCTGGTTGTCACTGGTTAGAGGCACCAATGGCCCGAGTGATCACTGATCACCATCCTGAGTCACCAGGGCATAATGAAGGACGCTGCAGTAATCAATGATCGTAAGAGACTATGTTCACGTGAGGTCGGGTTCATTTGACAGCTGACACCAGTAATCAACATTCAGTTCAATGCAACTTCGAGCATATGGTTGTTTGATGGCATATATATATATATATATATTATATATATATATATATATATATATATATATATATATATATATATATATATATATTAATATATATTTATTTATTTATTTATTGCAAGGAGAGGTAGTAAAGAAGTGCAACATTGCACTAACATAAACCCAATTTATGTTAAAAGGATCCTGGCTCTCAGCTCGAATAATCTCATAACTTAGTACTTAAAAATACTTAGTATCCCAAAAATACTTAGTACTTGTTAATTACACTTGTATAATTACACACAAATATCCACACACAGCTGATAGGGTAGATGAAGACGTTTTATTTAACACGGATGGAACACGCACAAGGGGACACAGGTGGAAACTGAGTACCCAAATAGGTACAGGGACGTTAGAAAGAATCGCTTAGTGTCAGAGTAGTTAACAGATGGAATGCATTGGGAAATGACGTGGTGGAGGCAGACTCCATACACAGTTTCTAATGGAGATATGAAAAGAGCCCAGTAAGCTCAGGAATCTGTTCACTGGTTGATTGACACTTGAGAGACGGGACCAAAGTGCCTAAGCTCAACCCCCGCAAGCACAACTAGGCGAGTACAGCTCATACTCACTCTCTCTCAGTTCATAGTTTATGTTTCACCTATTGCACAACTTGTTGGGTTGTGTTAGGTCCTTCGGCATCTTTTGATGTAGATTAGTAACCCCAGTGGACCAGCAAGGCCACAGCTGACATAACTGATAACACCACTAACTCCTCCCTCCTAAGGGGGAGCCGGTCGGCCGAGCGGACAGCACGCTGGACTTGTGATCCTGTGGTCCTGGGTTCGATCCCAGGCGCCGGCGGGAAACAATGGGCAGAGTTTCTTTCACCCTATGCCCCTGTTACCTAGCAGTAAAATAGGTACCTGGGCGTTAGTCAGCTGTCACGGGCTGCTTCCTGGGGGGTGGAGGCCTGGTCGAGGACCGGGCCGCGGGGACACTAAAGCCCCGAAATCCTCTCAAGATAACCTCAAGATAGATACACCCTTGCCTGAGTTGTGCTACATAGCCTTCCCAGCTTGGTGCCTTCTTTGATAATTGCTTACTTAGCCCGAGTTGACCTGGCTGTTGTCCAAGCCTGCATGAGGGGGTGAAGTCTCACTGCTCACATGTAGACTGGTATAGTCCTCTCATCCAGTTGTTGGTTTACATTTAGTTACTCAGAACGAAATGTCCATGTAGCACGGGCTATAGTGAGCCCCGTAAGTGCCCCCTCCCTAACATGTCCCACTGTTATACTCTTCTGTTCTTCTGCTGTTTATTGTTCTCTTAACTGTTACAAACGAACAAGTATTATGAACAGTAGTGGCTCACATATATCCCCATTGTCTATGCCCAGCAGGTTAGGTTAGGGTTGCTTGGGTTTGAGCATTTCTGGTTAGATTAGTATGTTCTATTTCATGCGTTGTGGCAAATCACGGCAAAGGGCTGGTGTAGCGGTGTGACACTGAGTGCACGCACTCAATTAAGAGTGACTTAAGTGCCAAATAGTAAGACTCAAGACTGGATAAGACTGTGAGAGTAAGACTCAAGTCTTCTCACACAAACATTGACTTCATGCTAAGGGGACATCTTCTTAGAGCGACCTTAGCAGCAAGTATTTACATATTGACTATTTGGTCATCTTTCCTCTGCGTAAAGTGCAAATATGTGATTAATATTCATTTTCTTGTAATATGTAGTTCAAGAATTAGACGCTCTTTGAGATCAATTATATCTACATAAGAAGAGGTTAATATAAATCAAAATAATATAAAATAATATATTTGTTAATACATAACTATTGTTCAAAAACACATTGTTCATAGACATAAATTTGGTCACAATGATTTTGTATTTATATACTCTTAGTTCACACTTGGCCTCAACTACACATTTCTCGACACCTGGGAGTCAGTATGTATCGCAAGGCGACACCTGGGAGTAAGTAAAGTATCGCAAGGCGACATCTGGGAGTCAGTATGTATCGCAAGGCGACACCTGGGAGTCAGTATGTATCGCAAGGCGACACCTGGGAGTCAGTATGTATCGCAAGGCGACACCTGGGAGTCAGTATGTATCGCAAGGCGACACATGTTTAACATGACACTCGTCTGTATCACTTCTCAATCCTAAATACTTGAACATTATTATGTAATATACGAGTTATTTTAACGATAATTTCGAGCATCTTGAGAGACAGTAATTACGAACGTCTTTATAAAGATTTTTTATATGTGTTGATCTATTCAATTTTTTGCCCAACTAATTCACTGAGAGATAAGCCAACTGTGTAGACCTTTCAAACTATAATTCACTATTGAATAAATCCATTTCTACAACCTTGCAAGCACCTGTAGAACACATTATACAACCTGTAGGTATCTTTAGAACATTTTCTACAACCCATTTGGTACCTCTAGAGAGCACATAGTACAACTCTGTACGTACCTCAAGATCAAATTTTATTTTCAACAACGCTGTGGTTATGGAGTATTATGGCACTAAACAACTGCGGCAGAACATGGTATAACAGGAAAGGAGAACAAGTTGTTCTTGGGGTGGACGGTAGAGCGACGGTATCGCTTCATGCAGGTTGGCGTTCAATCACCCGACCGTCCAAGTCGTTGGACACCATTCCTTGCCCCCGTCCCATCCCAAATCCTTATCCTGTCCCCTTCCAAGTGCTATATAGTCGTAATGGCTTGGTGCTTTTCCTTGATAATTCCCTCCCTGTGCTCTGAGGCCAGTGGCGGGAGGAACACCTTGCCATCTGTGCCGCCCGTCTTGCTTGGCAGTTCATTCTGTCTTCATTTTCGTATTACTGTGTTATACAAAGTTCACCTCATCCGACATCCGCTGGTATCAGGTAGACTTCAGCTTAAGCGACAGTGAGATGTGTGTCAGGTAGACTTCACCTTAGGCGACAGTGAGACGTGTATTAGGTAGACTTCACCTTAGGCGACAGTGAGACGTGTATTAGGTAGACTTCACCTTAGGCGACAGTGAGACGTGTATTAGGTAGACTTCACCTTAGGCGACAGTGAGACGTGTATTAGGTAGACTTCACCTTAGGCGACAGTGAGACGTGTATTAGGTAGACTTCACCTTAGGCGACAGTGAGACGTGTATTAGGTAGACTTCACCTTAGGCAACATTGAGACGTATTAGGTAGACTTCAGCTTAGGCGACAGTGAGACGTGTATTAGGTAGACTTCAGCTTAGGCGACAGTGAGATGTGTATCAGGTAGACTTCAGCTTAGGCGACAGTGAGATGTGTATCAGGTAGACTTCAGCTTAGGCGACAGTGAGATGTGTATCAGGTAGACTTCAGCTTAAGCGACAGTGAGACGTGTATCAAGTAAACTTCACAGTTACGGTATCATCATACTTTAGACAAGTGTAAACATTCAACACAGCTTCCACTGTGCCAAGATTTAGTACACTTCGTGGGGGGGGGGGGTTACACTTGGCATCATGAAAACAAACATGTCGGTCTGACACCCTCTACATGTAGGGCAATTATGAGGAGAAAACCTTAAGAGAATGTCTGTGTCCAGTGTTGGAGGCCCAGACGTGTGGGGCTAGTCTCATTCAGGGAACTTTTGCATGGTGATTTGGTGTTGTATAGTGAGTGTCATAGTGTGGGCGAGGTCGACCTCCGTGCTCTGTTGCGACCTCGTGAAGCCTGAAATGTGGGTTTGAGTTTCCATAGAGTGCTCAGATAAGATGTTTCCAGCTGTTATCGACATCGATTCAACGCCAGTAACGTTGATTCAACGTTAAACGAGCATGTTTTGTCAACTGGGATGGAGAAGGGGTTGGGGGAGGGAGAAGGGGTTGGGGGAGAGAGACAAAACTTGAAACAGAGAATGGGAGGGCAGGAAGGAGTGACATAGAATAGGAGAGAGAAGGGAGGGAGGTGGGGAGAACAGAAGGGAAAATGGAAGAATAGGAGGGAGGGAGAATGGATGGGAGGGAAGAAGAATTGAAGGGAGGAAAGGAGAAGTGGAGCGAGGGTAGAATGGGATAAAGGAAGAGAAGAATAGAGAAAGGAAGACAGACAGACAAGCAGACGCACCCGGGCACGCCGGATACCCTCATATAAAGAAGAAAGCCCGTTTGTCCCAGGCTGGAGCCCGACAACTGGGGCTCACCTTACGCAAGGTAAGGTAATTATCAAAAGAAGGCACCAAACCGGGAAGGTTATGTAACCTTACGCAACTTTGCGTAGTGTTTGATGATTTACGTGAAGTCTCACGGGGTGGTCGGGGCTGGCCCCCTTCTCCTCCTTGCAAGGGGGATCTGCCTCCGCACCCCCTTTCAACATATCGAAATGTAATGTGCAACCCAATATCTGTAGAGTTAAGCATTTGTTTAAATATTCGTGCATTCATATATTGACATGCAAAACGAATGTTTAGATGACAGATTTGGCGCACAACCTTTTATATTACAGTGATGTAGATAGTGTGTAGTGAAGACAGTTACAGTAACAGGGGGGGGGGGATATAGGGAAAGTATGTTTGTGTGGGTGGAGGCGAGGCTGGTGTCTGTTAGTGGAGATGGGTATAGTGTCAAGTGATGAGGGTTTTTTTGTTTTGTTTATAGTGATGAAAACAGTGCGTTTTGAAAATGATAACAGTGATGAGGCGAAACGGGGAAGGTGTGTAAGGGGGTTACGGGGAGGGTGTATGTTGGAAGAGATGGAGAGAGAATGTGTGTGGTGGGGAAGGTGGGGTGGGGTGGGGTGGGGTGGGGTGGGGTGGGGTGGGGTGGGGTTGGGTTGGGTTGGGTTGGGTTGGGTTGGGTTGGGTTGGGTTAGGTTAGGTTAGGTTAGGAGGGAGGTGCGTGGGAGAGGCCTTGGCACAAGGTCGCCCTGGGCACCGCCGGGATATCATACTGGTCATATTAGATAGCATATCAAAATATTCATATCATACAAGTCATATCAAATAGTCATACTATATAGTCATCTAGTATGACTATTTAGTACTTGGGGAGAGACATGAGGACAAGGAATGGGGAAACGAGGCAGATGGGAAGGAATATTTCCCATCCACATGAACCATCGGGGGATCGAACCCCGACTTGTAAGAAGTGAGACCACCGCTGTACCGATCAGTCCAAGTCGATGGACACCTCTATGGATACGTTTATGGCATCAGTATTAGAGGTGCAAGTTGCTAGATCAATATTTGTTGAATATGATGGTGACCGTTGTCGTGATGAGCAGACACCCAAGTTGAGAGCATCATGAGAGTGATCGCCGGTAATCTTAAACACTAAATATTTGATACATAGTAATTTAAACATTTTCCCTAGTTGGTTATTGATAAAAAAAAAATAAGTAACATTTGGACAGACGGACAACTGAACTGTTCGCCTGCAGACCAAGAGGCCTGATTGTCTGATGGGCAGCACTAGTGTGCAGGCCCCAGGAGCCAGACCGGCCCCCAGGAGCCAGACCGGCCCCCCAGGAGCCAGACCGGCCCCCCAGGAGCCAGACCGGCCCCCCAGGAGCCAGACCGGCCCCCCAGGAGCCAGACCGGCCCCCCAGAAGCCAGACCGGCCCCCCAGGAGCCAGACCGGCCCCCCAGGAGCCAGACCGGCCCCCCAGGAGCCAGACCGGCCCCCCAGGAGCCAGACCGGCCCCCCAGGAGCCAGACCGGCCCCCAAGGAGCCAGACCGGCCCCCCAGGAGCCAGACCGGCCCCCCAGGAGCCTTACCGGCCCCCCAGGAGCCTTACCGGCCCCCCAGGAGCCAGACCCCCCCCCCAGGAGTCACACTTGGGTACGGTACAGGTACGAAGTTCAGTACCCTTTAACCCTTCAGTACCTCAGAGTTCACCAACTTCAGCATCGTCAGCACTAAGCAAGCACGAGAGATGACCTAGTAGTACCCAGCCATTGAGGTTGTCGGGGTATCGTAAGAGCCACTGTCACAGTTGGCAGGCACTGTCTGGTACTGTGTATCGGTCACTGTCTGCGTGACGTACTGGGGCACCTGCTGGGTCTGGGTGACATATTGGGGCACCTGCTGGGTTTGTGTCACCGTCTGGGTGACATATTGGGGCACCTGCTGGGTTTGGGTGACCGTCTGGGTGACGTATTGGGGCACCTGCTGGGTTTGGGTCACCGTTTGGGTGACGTACTGAGGCACCTGCTGGGTTTGAGTGACATATTGGGGCACCTGCTGGGTTTGTGTCACCGTCTGGGTGACGTACTGGGGCACCTGCTGGGTCTGGGTGACATACTGGGGCACCTGCTGGGTCTGAGTGACATATTGGGGCACCTGCTGGGTTTGGGTCACCGTCTGAGTGACGTACTGGGGCACCTGCTGGGTCTGAGTGACGTACTGCATCTGGGTACTGAAGCTCGTCACTGTCTGGAACTGTGGGAGAAGTCTCACTTTTAGAGTATTAGAAACAAACATATATTACTTTGACACATCACAGTAATGACAACATCGCATGTTAACATTAACACGTCAAATGAGACCAAAATTGAACTGCATAATTGTTAGTCTTGGGCACTAGGAACATCCCTGGTGGAGAGAGATTATGACATACCTTAAACTATATTCCCTAGAAACAGAGTAAAAGAAGGACAGGTGAAGTATAGAAGTAAATGAAACTAGGCTCCTTAATCGCAGGGAGCGCCGAAGGATAGGGTGAGGTTATTGTTGCCTGACTCAGACTTTTAGCTGTCCGCCAGGTCTTGCATCTTCCCTCTGGATCAGTGGAGGACCATCAATCAGCTGTATGCTCGAAGTCGAATTCATCTGGATGTTGATTACTGGTGTCAACTTCCGAATAAACACAGCCTCAAGCGTACAAAACTTCTTCCGGTCGTCGGTGTGACAATCATAGGGCATAACGTGCGACGATCGTGTGACAATCATAGGGCATAACGTGCGACGATCGTGTGACAATCATAGGGCATAACGTGCGACGATCGTGTGACAATCATAGGGCATAACGTGCGACGATCGTGTGACAATCATAGGGCATAACGTGCGACGATCGTGTGACAATCATAGGGCATAACGTGCGACGATCGTGTGACAATCACACTCACCGACGACCGTAGGCGGCGTCGTACGTTGAGGCTGTGTTCATTCGGGAGTTGACACCAGTAATCAACATCCATTTCTAGTCCTAGTAATCATTTCTAGGACTAGAAAAACTTACCCCGTCCCTTAAAAAAACTTAATATTCTTTAACCCGGAGTTCAAAAATAATAATACAGTCAAGTCCGTTTTAATTAAGAACTCTACCCTGTCTGTAGCCGGTTGTGTACCACAGATATGACACTCTTTAACTATTGGGTTCATTACCTCCCAGCAGCACTTGTAACTAAGTCAAAGTCTGTGTATGACCTCTGCAATGTCTCTGGATATCTTTTTGCCAGGCTTGAAAGAGGAGTACCCAGTGACTTGCTCGTACCACATCGCAGTGGATCTTCCTTCCGCTACTTTGGCTCTGTGGCGACTTTTGATAGTTGGGAGTATTTTCTTCTTGAATTGTTCCATAATCTGTGAAAAACTTGGTGGCATTTTAACCCGATAGAACAGTGGCAGTTTTTGCTAGTGAGTCTGCCTTTTCATTACCATCTATGCCAATGTGACTTGGTATCCAATTTAGGGCGATTTACAGCCTTAGATTGTGGGCTTCTTTTCCTCTACAGGATTTCTGTGATGAGTTGTATATTATCTCTGTGTTGGCTGGATAACAATGCCTGGAGCGAAGATTTAGAGTCGGTATGAATGATGACATGTAAACTATTCTCACTTGTATACATACGGTGCAATTTTGGGTCAAATATACAAGTAGAAGGGGTGAGGTTGTCTGGGTTTAGGTGAAAGGTCGGAGGAATATGGGGACGGTCAAACATAGGGTATAGCGTTGGGTGAGAGACTGGCGCACTCGGTGGACGGGAGACCTGTGTAGAGATGTGTTCGTTCTTATCCGGTGATTTTGGTGAGCTCGCGATCTAAGTTCATTTATTAAACATATGACCAGATAACACAATAGACGTAGGGCAGTCGGATTGTTTCAGGCGTAGGTTAGACAAATATATGAGTGGTTTTGGGTGGATATAAACAAGAACTGCCAAGTGGGTCATCGAAATAAAGCTTTCTTCAATTACCAGTGCACCTTTTTGCATTATCGATGCTCAGTAATTGGAAATATGACCTCTCCGTGTCTTTATTTTACATATTGCTAATATAATGTGTACGTGATGAGTTTATAGGATCGAATTGACTTTATTTAGCTACAGGAGAGTCATGTTTGCTAGCTAATTTGTATTGCTTCTAAGGGGGTCTAGATATTTGCCACGTCAGTGCTCATGGGGGAGGATTCCTGGGAAAATGAGCCCCCCCTTGCCTGGAGAGCGGGAGAAAGCACACGTGCCGCTTTCTATGGACGGGTAATTAGGTCAAGTTGATCGGTAACGAGTACAAATACTGGTAGAGAAACTCAGGCACCTGCAGGAGTAATAATATGATGGGTTGAAGCGATTCGCAGGATGGCTGGCTCGTAGTGCAGTTGGCTTCGTTTTCGACTCACAATCCTGGATACCGGGTTCGATCCCCGAGTGGAACAGAATGGTTAGGCACATTTTCTTGCACCTATTACCTCTGTTCTAGACTCAAGACCAGCATGTAATGTTGATCTAGAGCCTAGACTCTGGAGTATAATACTGTGATTCAGTTCCAAAAAATTGTTAAAACAAATACTTGTATAACTTTCTTCTTTTCAAATGAGTTAAATGTATGGAAAAATTACTGCAAAGCTTGCCTTAAAACAGTGCTAAACGCCAGTTAAAATTAGTGTCAGTGTAACTTTGCGTGACAGTATGTGAAGTGACATACATGACAGCCTATCTTGAAGTTATCTTGAGATGATTTCGGGGCTTTAGTGTCCCCGCGGCCCGGTCCTCGATCAGGCCTCCACCCCCAGGAAGCAACCCGTGACAGCTGACTAACACCCAGGTACATATTTTACTGCTAGGTAACAGGGGCATAGAGTGAAAGAAACTCTGCCCATTGTTTCTCGCCGGCGCCCGGGATCGAACCCGGGACCACAGGATCACAAGTCCAGTCTGCTGTCCGCTCGGCCGACCGACTCCAAATGTTGGTTAAGGGTTAATGTTGACCAAGCTTAGTGTATCGGAACTTACCTCAAATCTTCACAATCAGATCTACTTCAGTCTGGGACCTCTGGTAGATTTATGTACATTGAAGGGATGTATGTACAGACGTACATTCAACTCCACGGATGCAAGTACAGATGCACCAGGGAATGGATGTTTGGAAGATGCACGAACTCTTGGGTAAATATAAATATTTATGGACGTTGACAGAGAGAGCTATGACTACCTGCTTCCCGCCCTGAAACTGTGTTCTACCAAATATAAAATATGATTAGTCAAAAGAATAAATCCGAACCTTACCTGCGTCTGATACTGCGTCTGATACTGCGTCTGGTACTTCGTCTGGTACTGCGTCTGTGTACTTGTCTGAGTGACGTACTGGAGCTTGGTGTCGGTGATGTACGACGTCTCTGTGAAGTACTGAGCCCTCGTCACATACTTGACGTTAGTCACCACCTGCCGGAACAATGCACTGGTTAATTATCTGAAACTACAATGGCAAAATATTTAGGTCTCTCCTTCACACCATGCTGCGTTACTAATCATAATATTGGCGGTAAAGTGTGTGAAGTAATAACTTGAAGGGTTGTGACTCACATCAGTCGTGGTGTGGAGGATGGGCGGGGCGGCGGAGGTGACGGTCTGCTGCTGGATGACGGTGGACGGGTAGTACTGCGTCTGTGTGATCTGCGAGTAGACGGTGGTGGGCAGGGCTCGCGTCCGGGTCTGTATCACTGTGGTCGGGATCAGCTTCGTTGTCGTCACCACTGAAACTTTCGTCTCGGGCTGGCATGACACCGTTGGGGTGTCGTATGACGGTGTACCGTAGCTCCCTGACGGTGTTTGTGGGGGAGGGGCAGCGTAGTTGTCGTTAGGGATTATGTTGTTGTCGTTGTATGTAGGGGAAGGCTGGGGGGCAGGAGGAGCATAGTTTACTTTCGGGGGTGGCTGGGGGGTAGGGGGAGCATAGTTTACTTTAGGGGGTGGCTGGGGGGTAGGAGGAGCGTAGTTTACTTTAGGGGATGGCGGGGGGGTAGGAGGAGCGTAGTTTACGTTTGGGACGGGCTCGGGGATGGAGGGAACGAAATTATCGTTAGGGAATATGTTATTGTCGTAGGTTGGGGAGGGCTGGGGAGCTGGAGCTGGAGGGGCGCCGTAGCTGGGTGATGGTGCTGGTAAACTTGCCTGTTAAGAAAAGATATGAATCATTATGCTGTACCGGATCATGTGTGTACCAACACTTCCGTACCTCATTAAACTCAAGTACAGGAGGCTGACCATACTGCAGGAAGAGACCCACCTGAGGAGGACCATACCGATGGGAGAGGGCAAAGAAGCTAGACTTGACCTGGGTGATGGAGGTCGCCGTCAACACCAGCAGGAGCACGGAGCACGCCATGGCCAGGGACACACAACGATCTGCAACCGGTTTACACTTTAGTTCCTTTCACAAACATTATAGTCGCTTTACGTTTATTAGTAAGCACATACAGGCCTCAGGAGCAAAGGATAGGCACTGACGATGCTGCTATTTTCTCTGGAGATGAGACCCTGACAGCCCATTTTACGTGAGTCTTCGGGGCGTCACCCTTGAGACTTCTAATATTCAGAGATGTGTAGTCTAACCAAATTTTATTTATTTAGTTTAGTTTTTTACAATTAGTTTGGTGTTGGGCTTCTGACCACTGGAGGGCTGTTAAGACCACCACGATAGCTAGGTCACCACGACAGCTTGGCCCCCACGACAGCTTGGCCCCCACGACAGCTTGGCCCCCACGACAGCTTGGCCACCACGACAGCTTGGCCCCCCACGACAGCTTGGCCCCCACGACAGCTTGGCCCCCCACGACAGCTTGGCCCCCCACGACAGCTTGGCCCCCACGACAGCTTGGCCCCCACGCCAGCTTGGCCCCCACGACAGCTTGGCCCCCACGACAGCTTGGCCCCCACGACAGCTTGGCCACCACGACAGCTTGGCCACCACGACAGCTTGGCCACCACGACAGCTTGGCCACCACGACAGCTTGGCCACCACGACAGCTTGGCCACCACGACAGCTTGGCCACCACGACAGCTTGGCCACCACGACAGCTTGGCCCCCCACGACAGCTTACCCTCCAGCTAAGCAAGTATATTTTAGTCTTAAAGATGGTCCAGGACTAAAGGATACTCTCAATGTATATTCACCGAGAAACAGGGTACACCTGCAGGTAAATATATGTCTGGTACAATGTATTATACTGATACAGTTAGTGTCCATGAACACGATTCTACATTAAAAAAATGATAAAATAGTACCCCATCTTATACTCTTATCTGTAGTCTCGCTAGAAAACGTAGAATGGTTATAAGCATTTTTAGTTTATGGTCGACAATCCGAAGTTAGGGCGGAACTTCGGCGTTAAACTCCACGTTAATCACACGCCATATTTTACACTTGACTTCAAGAAAGACTCCACGATAATGGCCTGGGGGGGGGGGTGATTCTAAATGCTAAAATTTTATAAAGCACTTTCCTTGCGCTTACACCGACTAACCTACGCCCGTTACGTACCCCTAGACAATTCCCCCTACAAATTTAGGTGAGACTCGTCCAAAGCGTTTGGCATCTGACTTTGGACAGACAGACATTCAGTCTTAAAGGTATAGATAAATAAGTCCTCACCTGCAAAGCGAATCAATGAGATGTTGCTCTTGATCTGTTAATTTACGATTTCATAGAGACGTCACTCACCTGGTACATACATTACATAAAACAACACTTGATAACTGATTTTGGTTACATAAGGTTAGAATAGGATTCTTCACAGAGTAGCGATGACGTAGGGGGTACATACGTCTCAGGCTTTAGACGTACATACGTCTCAGGCTTTAGACGTACATACGTCTAAGACTCAGCTCTACGACCCTACTCATGGTAGGGTCAAACACTACTCGCAAACTTTTTGTGACTAATATTTGTGAGAGGTACTAAAGTGTGAACCGTCTTGGGCACAGGCCCCAAGTGGGCCTTCACATGACCACTTGGGGACTGTCAGTTCCAAAGATCTCAGTATATAGGCAAGACAACAACGTCTCTTTCTAGGCGATTAACAATGCATAAACAACAGGGCTCCATCAAGGAGCATTCTCCTCACACAACCAGACCATCACCAGAGAAATCTTAACACGCAACACAGAAATTATCGACTGATACAACGATGAAGGCACTAAGATTTTTGTCTTTCTCATTCTTTCTTAGCCTCCTAAAATCATAGACATTTTCCTAAGTATTGAAGCCTGCTCCTAAACCTACTATCTTCTCAATGATTTTCATCTCTTCTGCTGCTCTGTTAGCAGAAGAGATGATGATGATACTTGGATGATATTTCCAACATGGATAGATATAGATACCAACACCCTAGATGATATTTCCTTTACTAAACACCCGAAAAATGTTATGGACTTCTATCAGTAGTGTTTTGTTATAATTTACTGTTGGCTAACAGTTCTTTCCTAATTGCTTGTCTAATTTCTGCTTCTTGTTGGTCATTTCTAGTTTTGACTTCTAAACACACTTCCTTGATCGTCTCCTTCTCTTTTACAACTTGCTCATACGTTTCTTTAATTTCCTCTTTGTACTTTGCTAGTTCATTATTAACCTCATCTATGTGAGTTGTCAATGAAGTTTCTCTTTGCAAATCCTTGCCTAACTCTGTTAACCCTCAGTGTTCCTTGGAGTTGTTCACCATATGAGTATTTTCTTGTTAATTTCGTCAAACTCACCACTCTTCACTTTCCATACCTCATTTTCTTTCACTGGTTCCTTGATTTGTTCTTTCTGTATCTTAACCTTGTCCGTCAATACGGTATTTATCTTACTTTGCTGAAGAATACTTCCTTTTAAAGTGCAAAACTCATTCCTGAGCGCTCCATTTTCTTGTTCTAATTCACGTACTTTTTGTTCATAATTCTTTAACATGTCTTCAATAATTTCTAACCAGTCAAGAAAACTTTCTTTTATTATATCTTATGGTGATAATTTTTTAAACAATCATCTGTTGGTATGTTTACCTTCCCCGTGGTGGCGGCCATCTTTGTTATTGACGATCCTTTATTATGGAATATAAGCATTTCCAACTCGGAATTTTCACTCACTTTCACTTATTTCTTGTATCTTATTTACTTTTAAACTTCCTAATACTGTTATGTAACCTGTGACACCCCTTACAGCCCTCAACCTGTTCCCAATACTTAGGGAATTTGATATTCCTGGAGCCTGCTGCAGCGTGACTCTTGCCTCCTGGCGCTCTTGAACTGAGATATTTGAGAACTGAAAATTAGTACTCACGTATTTGTATTCACCTATTTGTGTCTGCAGGATCGAGCATTGACTCTTGGATCCCGCCTTTCAAGCCATCGGTTGTTTAAATCAAACCTCAACATTTCAGCAATGACTCCAGTCCGATTACCCGAGCATACCTAGTTTAAAAATTATGAATAGAATGTGCCTACACAACCTGCTTCTTCAGTGCATTCCATTTTTCCGCTACTCTCACGCTAAAAGAAAACTTCTGGAGCACCTTACCTTTTACTCCTGCCTGATGCTCCAACTTTTTTAACAGCCTTTTATGGGGTATTGTGTCAAAGGCTTTTTGTCAGTCCAGGAAAATACAGTCGGCCCACCCTTCTCTTTCCTGCCTAATTTTTGTTGCCTGTTCATAGAATTCTATTAAACCTGTGAGGCACGATTTACCATCCCTGAACCCATGTTGGTGGTGTGTTACAAAGTTATTTCCCTCCAGATGCTCTACGAGCCTTTTCCTCACGATCTTCTCCATCACCTTGCATGGTATACAAGTTAGGGAAACTGGCCTGTAGTTCAGTGCCTCTTGCCTGTCACCCTTCTTGTATATTGGGACTACGTTAGCTGTCTTCCAACTTTCTGGTAAGTCTCCTGTTTCCAGTGACCTGCTATACACCATAGAGAGTGGCACACTTAGTGCTTCTGCACCTTCCTTTAGTATCCATGGTGAGATTCTGTCAGGCCTAAAAGCCTTTGTCACATCCAGCTCCAGCAGACACCTTTTGATCTCATCACTGGTGAGGTCAAATTCCTCCAAGGTTGCTTGGTTTGCCGCCTCCTCATTTAGAGCAGGGGCTTCTCCTTGTTCTGTTGTGAAGACCTCTTGGAATCTCTTGTCGAGTTCTTCACACACCACCTTGTCATTCTCTGTGTATCTGTTCTCCCCTTTTCTCAGTTTCATCAATTGTTCCTTCACTGTTGTTTTCCTCCTGATGTGGCTGTGGAGCAGTTTTGGTTGGATCTTTGCTTTACTTGCTATGTAATTTTCAAACTGTCTCTGCTTCCCTCTTCACTCTGAGGTACTCATTTTTGGCCTTCTAGTATCTCTCCCTGCTCTCCGGTGTTCTGTTATTTCTGTAGTTTCTCCATGTTCTTTTATTCAGTTGCTTCGCTACCTTACATTCCTGGTTGAACCATGGGTTTTTCTGTTTTTCTCCTTTTGGACGGGGATAAACCTGTCTGCAGCTTCCTGGCACTTCTGGGTGACAAAATCCATCATGTCCTACACATTCTTGTCTCTAAGTTCTGTTTCCCATGGTATTCCCCTGAGGAAGTTCCTCATCTCGTCATACTTTCCTCTTCGGTAATTTAGTCTTATTCCCTCCGATCCCATCCTTGAATAGGTTATCCCTACCTCCACCAAGTACTCAAAGCTTAGTACACTGTGGTCACTCATTCCTATGGGGGCTTCAACTTTGACTTCCCTTATTTCTGACTCATTCAGGGTGAATATCAAGTCGAGTCTAGCTGGTTCATCATTGCCTCTCACTCTTGTGGGTTCCTTGACATGCTGGCTCAGAAAATTCCTTGTTGCCACTTCCAAGAGTTTAGCTCTCCATGTATCTGCACCACCATGTGGGTCCCCATTTTCCCAGTCTATCTTTCCATGGTTGAAATCGCCATTATTAAGGGTCTTGAGCCATTCCTGCGGGCAACTGAAGCTGCTCTCTCTATTATATTAATGATTGCCATGTTGTTCTTATTAAACTCCTCTCTAGGTCTTCTGTCATTTAGGGGAGGGTTGTAAATGTCTGCCACTATTATCTTAGGTCCTCCCATTGTTATAGTTCCTGTTATGTAATCTCTGAACCCGTCACAGTCCGGAATTCCCATCTAATCAAAACTTCGGTCCTTCCCTTATCAGCATGGCCACTCCTCCACCTCCTCTCCCTTCCCTCTCTTTCCTTACTATATAGTAGTCATTTGGAAACACAGCGTCTGTTATGACTCCTGACAATTTTGTTTCCATGATTCCTATTACATCAGGGTTTTCTTCTTGCGCCCTTTCTGCCAGTTCACTTGCTTATTGCTAATCCCATCAATGTTTGAGTACATTATCTTGACGCTCACTTTCTTATATCCAATTTCACCCTCACTTCCCACAAGTGTAGGAAGTTGTTCCATGGTCATTGCTACTTGGGTAGGCTCATCCTCCTGTGAGGTAGTTGCCAGGGGTTCAGGGGGAGGTGGAGTGGGGGATGGAAGGCTTACGTCTTGCTCAGGCTTGCTTGGGGCAGGAAGAAGTCCTGAGGGCGAGGGGGCAGGAAGAAGTCCTGAGGGCGAGGGGGCAGGAAGAAGTCCTGAGGGCGAGGGGGCAGGGACTGCTTGTGGAGCAACCTGTCCTCTTAAAAAGAACGTCGCTTTTGGCCGTTTGCCCGTATGGCCGAATTTGGACGTAATTTGAAAATGAAAATAAATTTGGGTTTTTTTTTTTCAACAACAGTAAGTTAAGGGTCCTCTGATAGGTTAGGTGGGCAGGAAATTCTCAAAGTTTCAAAACGTTATGAAAAAAGTTAATTTAAAGTGTCCTCTTATAACCTCTGCGCGTACACCGGACAACTCAAATAGAAAACGGAACAGAGCGTCACTTTTGTGAGTCGATTTCATTTCAAATTACGTCCAAATTTAGCCATAGTGCGCATACCAGCCAAAAGTGACGTTATTTTTAAGAGGACGGGTTGCGTGGAGAGGGCACGCCCTCCTGCGGAGTAGTTGACAGGGGTTTGGGGGGAGGTGGAGTGGGGGATGGAGGGCTTAGGTCTCGCCTGGGCCTGCTTGGGGCAGGAAGACTACCAGGGGCTGGGAAAGCAGGGGATACTTGGGGTAAGGGGAGGGGGAGGGGGAGGATTTGGGTTTCATGATGGGCATTGTGCAGGGGCAAGGAAGGGTTTGTGCTGGGGGATAGGGGGAGCCCAAATTTGGTGGTGAGCTGGGGTGTTGCATTATCCCCTGGGGTTCCTGAGTTGCTGGATTGGGATTCCCCACTCCCATCTGGGATTGCTGGGTTGGAGGCTGAGGTTCCCTGGCTCCTTTCTCTCTCCTTGCGCCTTTTCCTTGCATCTGCTGCCCTTACTATCTCGTCTCTGGTCATGTCCCTCTGAACATATACCTCTTTGTAATTCCTTGCATCCCTCGGCTTGCTCTTCTTTACTAGGATGTCCTCTTTGATGACCTCGCTCTTGATGACCTTGATCAATCTCTTTTTGTCTCTGTTGTACTGGCCAATCCGGAAAAACTGTTCTATGTCTCGTTCAGCCCCTTCCATTCCTATCTTCTTTAATATCCCTGCCACTGCAGCTTTGTCTTTAGTCCTCCATTCCTCCCTTGTGGAGCCCTCTTGTTCCTTCACACCTACCACTACTACAGCTCTTTTCCTTTCCATTAGCTGGCTTGTGCATCTAGCTGCCTCCTGTGAGGTTACTGCTTTCATTACAACTTCCTTGACTGTGCACATAGCATCTGGGCTCTTCAGCATTTCAGCAAAGGTTGGACCAATTGTAGGGGTCCCTGCCATTACTACATCTCTTGGTACCTGGGGGCAGGTTGCCTGGGGCAGAGTCTGATGAGGGCCTGTTTTTAGGCTTTTTATCTTCTCTTGTGCTGCACTTACTTCTATCTGCAGCTTACATATAGTTTCCCTCAGGTCCTTCAATTCCCCACTGATTTCTTTCCATACCTTAGCAATCATCTCCATATGTGACTCGTCCAGTCCCTCTCCTCCAGCTTTGTTCTGCTGTGTGTGTGTGTGTGTGTGTAATTACTATTTGCATTTACTATTTGTCTCTGCAGAATCGAGCTATTAGCTCTTGGACCCCGCCTTTCTAACCAATTTATTTTTCCTCTATTACGTCTACTACATATATTTCTCTTTAACACACACACACACACACACACACACACACACACACACACACACACACACACACATTAGGAAGTGATGTGGTGGAGGCTGACTCCATACACAGTTTCAAGTGTAGATATGACAGAGCCCGATAGGCTCAGGAATCTGTACACCTGTTGATTGACGGTTGAGAGGCGGGACCAAAGAGCCAGAGCTCAACCCCCGCAAACACAACTAGGTGAGTACAACTAGGTGAGTACACACACACACACACACACACACACACAGGAGATAGACAGGAGGATAGACAGGAGGCACTGAACTACAGGCCAGTGTCCCTAACCTGCATACCATGCAAGCTGATGGAGAAGATTGTGCGAAAAAAACTAGTGGAGCATCTGGAGCGAAGGAACTTTGTAACACAGCATCAACATGGGTTCAGGGATGGCAGGTCCTGCCTCACAGGGTTACTTGAATTCTACGACCAGGCAACAAAAATAAGGCAAGAAAGAGAAGGGTGGGCAGACTGCATATTTTTGGATTGTCAGAAAGCCTTTGATACAGTGCCACACAAGAGGCTAGTGCGAAAGTTGGAGATGCAGGCTGGAGTGAGAGGGAAGGTACTCCGGTGGATAGAGGAATACCTAAGCAACAGGAGACAACGAGTCTGTGTGAGGGGTGAGGTCTCAGATTGGCGAGACGTCACAAGTGGAGTCCCGCAGGGGTCAGTCCTTGGACCTATACTGTTTCTGGTAAATGATCTCCCAGAGGGTATAGATTCGTTCCTCTCAATGTTTGCCGACGATGCAAAAATTATGAGGAGGATTGAAACAGAGGATGATAGTAGGAGGCTACAAGATGACCTGGATAGACTGAGTGAATGGTCCAACAAATGGCTGTTGAAGTTCAACCCGAGTAAATGCAAAGTAATGAAACTAGGCAGTGGAAACAGGAGGCCAGGCACAGGATACAGAATAGGAGATGAAGTACTTAATGAAACAGACAGAGAGAAAGATCTAGGAGTTGATATCACACCAAACCTGTCTCCTGAAGCCCACATAAAGAGAATAACGTCTGCGGCATATGCGAGGCTGGCTAACATCAGAACGG